GAGACTGTCAAGGAGGCAGATCAGGGGCAGCGCCAGCACAAGTCATACACAGCCCTGGCCAATCAGCATCTCCTCATAGAGGTTAATTGAATCAATGCATCTCTATGAGGAAAGTCCAGTGTCTGCATGCAGGGGGAGGAGACACTGAATGGCAGTGCTGCTTACTCTGCAGCACTGCCCCAGGAAGGATCTCTATCAGCAATCTGAGGGGTGGCCGGTGGAGTAATCCCTAAGCTGTAATGTAAACAATGCATTTTCTCTGAAAAGACAGTGTTTACAGCAAAAAGCCTGAAGGGAATGATTCTACTCACCAGCCCAAATACAATAAGCCGTAGTTGTTCTGGTGACTATAGTGTCCCTTTAACAGGATTTATTAAACATCTTCTGGGGACAATGCGTTTTAATGGTTTTATGAATGCTTTTTTTACTTACCTTTTTACTGTCTGTTGTTTGTATTATATTTATGAATGAGCAACACTTGTGTAAAGAAAGACGTGTATGTGGAACGGTTTAGTGTTATGGTGTTGGGTATTAGTTTATATTTTTTCTGCAGTTTTTTCTTCTATATTTAGACTTAGCTACTCTGATATAGAGCTGGTGGGAGGTAGACCTTTTTAAGGTGTCTCCTCGAAGGCACGACAGTATAGTTACAGCTTTAGGTTATTTTCAGATTTATCCTTTTCTGGCGATACCTGTCTATCCTCATAGACCATATAGGTTTTCTCATACCCCCTTCCCCTCCTTATTATTACCCCAGGAATAGTTAACACACTCTTTCGGGTAACTGTGGGGATATTGTTTACCTGGTATTGGCTGATAGCGGCTTGATACTTTATTATACTTACCAGTGTGATTTGTATCAAGACAATGTTTTCATTCCATCTAGGTCTATCATACCTTATACTTGCAATTTTATTTATAAATTTTTTCAATACAATGGACTCAGTGGCGGATCCAGGAGGGGGTAGGTCCCCCCTACAGCCCTACACACAATACTACAGCTCTTTTTTAAAGAGCAGCTCCTATTCCCCAACTGCAGCCCCTTATCCCCACTGCTGCTTCTACTGCCTACGGCAGTCTCTACCCCTCATTACAGTCCCCAGGGCCGGACTGGCCCACCGGGATACCGGGAAATTTACCGGTGGGCCGCGGCACCTGGGGGGCCGGAGAGAGAGAGAGAGGGAGCCCTGCTCCCTTTACTTTAATAATATCGCGGCCGCAGGCCGCATGTCGGTGCCGCCGGGTGGCCGGTCCGGCGGCACACTCTGAGGTGAATACTCACCTTGCGGCCGGCGGCCCCATCTCCTGTGCTGACAGCTGTCAGTATCAGTGAGTGTGCCGGGCGGCCGCCTAAGCGATCCAGAGGCACACTCACTGATACTGACAGCCGTGCAGCTGTCAGCACATGAGGTCTGAGGGAGGGGGTGGAGCTAGCTAGTAGCTACCATGCTCCCTCGCGGTTCCCAGAATTCCCAGCATCTACACATCATAGAGTAGGGATTACTGTATGATGTGTAGATGCTGGGAATTATGGAAACCGCGAGGGAACATGGTAGCTACTAGCTAGCTCCGCCCCCTCCCTCAGTCCTCCTGTGACAAGGTAAGCAGGCACACAGAAGGGGAAGGGGGGGGGGAGACAAAAAGAGGGATGGGGGAGACAAATAGAGGGGAAGGAGGGAGACAAAGAGGGGAATGGGGGGAAATAGAGGGAAGGGGGGACAAAGAGGGAAGGGGACAAATAGAGGGAACTGGGGGGAAATAGAGGGAATTGGGGGACAAAGAGGGAAGGGGACAAAGAGGGAAGGGGGACAAATAGAGGGAAGGGGGAAATGACAAAGAGGGAAGGGACAAAATGGAGGGGAAGGGGGACAAAGAGGGAAGGGGGACAAATAGAGGGAAGGGGACAAAGATGGAAATGGGGACAAAGAGGGGAAGGAGGGAGACAAAGAGGGAATGGGGGACAAATACAGGGAAGGAGGGAGACAAAGAGGGAATGGGGACAAATAGAGGAAGGGGAAATGAGGGGAAGGGGGACAAACAGGGAGGGAAATGGGGAGACAAATAGAGGGGAATGGGGGGAGACAAATAGAGGGGAATGGGGGGAGACAAATAGAGGGGAATGGGGGGACAAATAGAGGGGTAATAGAGAGACACCAGGGAATGGGGGACAAAGAGACAGAGGGGTAATAGGAGGTTGGGGGGACAAAGAGAGGGGTAATAGAGAGACACAGGAGAAGGGGGGACACAGAGACAGAGGGGTAAGAGAGAGACACAGGGAGGAGTTGGGGAAGAGAGACACACGGAAGGTTTGTTGGGGGGACAAAGAGACATGCAGTAGGGAAGGGGAACAAAGTGACACAAGATTTGTGGGAGGCAACGCTGGGCTGAGGAAAAAGAGACAGAGTGACTGGGAGAAGAGAAAGAGGCACACGGAGTCTGGAGTTAGAAAGAGACACACAGATGAGATTTGGAAGGGGAGAAAGAGACAAAGTGGCTGGGGCTAAGAACAACACAAAAGGGGCTGGGGGAAAGAGAAATACAGAGGCTGGAGAAGGGTAAAAAGAAACACACAGGGACTGGGATGAAGTAAAAGATGCACAAGGGTCGCTGTAAGAGAAAAAAAGGAGACAATTGGAGACAAGATACACTAAACGAGGTAAAGGTAATAGACATAAATTGATGTGATCCTGACAGTAATACACACATATATATATATATATATGCATGTATATTGATGTGTGTATTAGTAACATATAATTATGCCTATAATATTTACACATATCGTAATATACATTTATTTATGCATAATACACACATAAATGTCATTAAATATGTCATTATATATAATGAGCACGTATTGGCCCTGTCTTGTTGCTAGTTGCATACTCATGCACAATAACATATTCAAAGTGAAGAGCGCACCCATAGAACTTCAAAATAAACAAGATCACTTCATTTTTTAGTTGTGCAACTGCAGACATTCAGCATTTCAGTACCATTACTAAAATGTCCTTAATAGGCCAAAGTAGTTGTACTGAAACATTACATGCAAATGTACGTCTACTTAAAATAAAGGCGCTCTTTTGTTTATTTTGAAGCCCTATATGCGTTCCTTCGTTGGAGTAAGAGTTTTCAATTTCAAGTTATTTTTTCACCCTCTATATCAGCACACTATGCTGGCGCGAAGCATTATTGGGCTGGTATAGAATTTTTTTCCAGGGCTGATTTTAGGTCCCAGTCCGGCCCTGACAGTCCCTACTCTTCAAATGTAGCTCCTATCTCCCACTACAGTCCCTAACCCCCTAATGCAGCTCCTATCCCACCACTACTGTCCCATTCTTCTACTACAGCCCCTAACACCCACACTAGTCAGTAACCCTTCTACCACAGTCCCTTACTCCTCACTGCAGCCCCTATCCCCTATATGCAGCCCATATCCCCAAACTACAGCCCCATTCAAACTTCAGCTCATATCACCCCACTACCACCCTTAACTCGCCTACTACAGCCCCTATTCCCTTACTAGAGTTGCTACCCCCCCACTAGAGCCACTCTCCCCAATTGCAGCCCATATCCCCTACTGCATTTGGTAACACCCCATTTACATTACTTAACCCTCCTACTACAGCCCATTACAGTCCCTATCACCCACTACAGCCCACTACCAGTGCCCCTCCCGAGATTAGGCTCTGTATCCGCCACTGAATGGATTTATAATAATCATCACTTGATTTATAATTTTTTAAAGGATTTTAATAAGTTAGGTTTTATATTTTGGTTGCTCATTATTCCATATGGATTTTCCATGTCTTTTTATCCCTAACCTCTTTTTCCTTTTTCGCTTACAACAGTTACATTCAGGTGTTACCCCCCATTTCTATAAATAAGAGTAACCATACACTTTCGCACTTAAATATTTGTATCGAATCTAGTCAAGACATGTAAGTCTTGACGTTTAAATGCTCAGTCACACACATGAAATTAGATGTAGCGCTTCTTCTGGCCAACATAGTGCCGGTCTTTGTCCTATCACCATAGTAAAGCTGCAGGCTTGGTAAACCATGACTCTGGGTCTCTAGGGACTGTAGTGGGTACAACTGCAGTGCATAGAGAACTGGTGTTTTTGGGAGCTACAGACTTCGAGGTACAATATTTAGGCTTTGAAAAACTTTATTTAATGATATTACATAAACTATCTCTCCACTAGATTTTGTTGATTTCCAGAAGGAGTTCTGGACCCAGATGTCAGTGCGGCTGACATTTCATACAAACGTGTTAATATTGTTCTCAGTGTTAGACTCTATCATTTCTTTAGTATGTACATTGAAACATTTCAGTTGCTCATTAGGAACATTATGAACATATATGGCGAGCTGCTTTGGTTATTACAGCCTTTTTTAAGAAGTATTAGATATAATAATAATTGTAATGTTCCCTTGTGTGCATGTCTTACTGCTGCTGTTGAAATTAAATTCATATTGTGCCTGATTGACCCATGAGGATTTCTGTACTAGATATAAATATATATATATCCCCCAATAAGTGAATTTGTTAAACCATAACAAGAAATAATGCTTTAACTCTTTTGCAATCTTGAATGACATTGAATAGACCCAAAGTAGCCAAATTGCTATCATTAGATAGTCTTAACCAAATTAAAAGTCACAAACCATGTGAAGGGGCAAGCATCAACTTATTAGAATTGGTTTTATCAGTTTAGAACATTATTAATTTTGCCACTAGGGGGCATATTCATTTAGTGAGCCATCCCATCTGTACCCACATGGAGCAGGATTGTGTGTTAAAGTGGTAAAGAGAGAGTGCATTCATCTGTAAATCTAGAGAAGTGACATTTGTTTGTCAATACTTCAATTAATAATTATAACTTGAGTTTTAGCAAATAAAATAACTGTAAACTCGATTAAATGTTACAAATTGAGCTGTCAATCAAGTTAGCGAAAATAACACATTATAAAATATCACACAGACTCACAATAATAGTCAGATCCTGATTAAATTTATTGCAGAATAATATACAGATTGATTGTATTTAGAGGAGAATCCCCTGGCCCTTGGTGTCTGATACAGATACTGGCATGCCAGGGACATATGATATATTTACATAAGTACAAGAATATGCAAATATATAACATATTTTAAAACAGACAGACCCAGAAACGTGGGATCTTAAATTTTGTTCACAAAATATTTACTGTAAGCTAGCACCACACAAGATTAACACAAAAAGTTAGCAGGCTGAATGAGGCCTGAAAACAGATTTGATTATATAGTAAAAAGTAATTTAAACAGCATATAGTGATATCCAATACCCCATTTCACTATCAGAGACCTCGGAGTACATTTCTGGGAGGGTCTCTCACATACAGAGTTGGAGCCAACGTGGATATATTTTCACTGAGTAGGAAAGATTGCGTGTATATAACCCATCGGTTCCTCCCTCCAGCAGTAAGGAGTAAACTGCGATGCTTTTAAATATATATATATTATCTTATTTTAGAATCTATACAAACAAAGCTTAAAGGATCTGCTCTACCCAGGTGCATTATGCTATTCTGTAACCGAAATGGATAGTGCACAATTAGGAGTTTGATCACACTGCTACCCAAAAGCAAAGGGAATTGAACCTAAATATGTCATTGTAATGGGGTAATGTTTTGCATGGTGGCCCTTTAAAAACTGCTTTAAAGAAAAAAAGTGAGAATTGAAAGTAAATGCCAAGATTAAGGTCAAAATGAAGAAAAAAAAAATCAGCTTTGATTCCACGTTGGCTACTTTGCCTTTGACTCACTTTACTGAATAGCCCTGCCTGATGTTAAATCAAATTGTTCCAACATACGATTGGTAATTGACCTAAAAAGAAATCAATACCCATAAGTAATATCCTACATTATATATATATATTATAAATTTTGTGCATGTTGCTCTAACAAGCCCATGTCTGTTTGTATTTATATGTATCCCATGTATCTGGTTCCACTTTGCACCTTTATCATCAGGTATCTGATGGTGCTGGCTCTCTCTCTCTCTCGCTTGGTAGATTGGGGTCTATGTGGTTGACATGTAGCCGTCCCAAAGCAAAATGTAACTTCTGGGATCCTAATTGCGAATTTCTACAAGTTCCACATCAGATACTGAGCATTACAACTCCCATTCAGGTACAGCCAGATTCCAATAGTTATCTCCTACAAAGCTAATGACATTTAATACCATCCTTACCATATGGTCTTTTAAAATAATTTAACCCCTTAAGGACCAAACTTCTGTAATAAAAGGGAATCATGACATGACAAACCTGTATTTGGAATGCTATAGTGTCCTAGTTGCAGGGTTAAAATTATAGGACCATTTCATTGAGATGAAGTGGTCTAGGTGACTTTGGTGGTGCTTTAAGACCTTATGTCCGCGTGAAATTTCCTTCTTGTATATTATTGCCCTGCTGTCACTATACGAGTCAGATCTTCAAAAAAAGCATTTTTAAACTTATCTTAGCCTGTGTTGATCATTTTTATCTTTTCAGCAGATTTATTTAAATATATAGAATAAAATATATCTAAGACATTTCAGGTCAACACGAAGCACGTGTGGGGGGGTGGGGAGGGGGCACTGAGAAACATCGAAATGTTCAAATAAACAATTCAGCAGCAAAAAAAAAATTATTGCTTTTCCAGCAAGCTTAAAACAAAACAAAACAAAAAAACTGTTTTTAGTGGGGTTGAAGAAGTGGCCTGTCCCTTTTTTGGAGCAAAAACGAGAGAGATCAGCACAATGATAAAGAACTCAGAGTGGAAGTAGATGCAGGGAATTACTGATCAAAGCTTCAAAAAAAATAAAAAATAAATCTTTCATAGCCAGTGCAAGGTTTATATTTCAGCCTCCTACTTTAACCTTTGCAGAATCTCATATATGCAATTCTAGTTCACCTTCCTTCCAGGGGCTTACGTTGTTGAAAATTCAAAGTTTATATCAAATTTAGGCCAAAGTAGTCAACTGGAAACATTCTCCAACTCAACTATGTTTTCTGCTCAGCTACTTTGGCCTTACATTTGAAATTTCATTTGATTTCCAGACAGTCTCACTTTAATAAATGATTTTGGAGGAGATTTTTTTTTTTTAATTAAAAACGCTCTTTGGGAGCAATATATCTTTCAATATCAGCATTTACATTTTGATTGTAACAGCTCGGACCAACTTTTTTCCCCTCACTGTTATCGATTCCACAATTAGGGCGCCAGTTTATCCCAAATACTAATATGGGTAAATTTTGCTCAACACTTGGAATATTTTGTAATGGTCTTAAAGGTTTGTAACAAATGCACCTGTTCTAAAATATGAAAAGGAACATCATTAATATACTCTAGGGCAAATATTTTAACCCCATTGCAAATGTAACAGAGTTCAAACTCTCAATTTTGAGTTTCCATTTTTTTTTTAAAAAAGCTGTAGAGCGCCATCTAGAGACAGAATAACAAAAAACAAGTATAGAAAAAACGTAAATGTTAAATCTTTCGTGATCGAAAAGACAAATATTAAATAAAACAGCAAAACAGATTTAAACATGCAGATGTATTTTCAATAGTTAAAAGACAGTGTAAATTTATTGCTTTGACATTCAGGTATTTATGGCTGGATAACCTTTCAGAACTAACTTTATATTTATATATATATATTTTTCTTTCCATTTTTCTTAAAGATATAAAAGGTTTACGGTGCCAGTGGAAAATGATCAAAGATGCAAGTAAAAGGAGCAGAGTAAAAGGTTAATTCATAAGGCTGAAATACATTATGTAGCCTTGTAGGGAGAGGTCACCTGTCTCTTGCTCTCCATAGGTTTCCAAACCTTAGCAGATCAGCATTTTATTATTAAGATTATTCACAAATGCACGTCTTTGAACCCATCTGATGCAAAAGGCATCACTGGGAAAATCTCAGAGTCCTTGGGATAGACATGAGAGGAAGTAGGTGGAATTAAAGCATAGTCTACAGGAAGAGCTATAGGGAGTGTTTGTAGGTGTCAGAGTTAAAGATCTAAGGGGAATATAAAGCAGGGGTGGGGAACCTTCGGCCCTCCAGATGTTTAACACCTGGAGGGCCAAAGGTTTCCCACTCCTGGTATAAAGGATCAGTTGGCAGTGAATGTACAATCAATTGACTATACTGCAACAATAATTGAGTGTTTGTAGGAGTCAGAAGATGATACAGTACAGAATCGCAGATTACAGGAAGCATTTGTAGGAGTCATATGAAGAGTTGATATAGAGGCTCAGGTAGTGGATCAGTTAATGCATGGCCTGGGATAAGATTTAGAGAGTGTTGGTAAGAGTCCGAGCTGGTATGGTCTGAAAGGTATACATGAGCAGTTAGTGGTAGAGATACAGTATATAATGCACATGACAAGTTTCAAGGAGTGGTTGTAGGAGTCAGAGAACATATTTTTACAGAGCGTATATAGAAGTGGTTAGTGGTGGAGTTATAGCATAAAGCCAAAGGTTTAGAAGAACTGTTTTAGAAGTTGGAGGAAGATAAATCATAAGAGGAGCACTTAATAGAGGAAATGCTGCAGATGTTTGAAGCATTCACATAGTGCATACATAAATCGCACATAGAAGAAGTTAATAAAGGGAATATTCATTGATGTGACAAAGGAAGGAGGTACAGAAAGGTGTGATAATAAAAGGAAGTATAAAAAAGTGTGATAATGGGAGGGTGTACAGAAAAATCTGAAAATGGGAGGTAGTATAGGAAGGTACGGGAAGATGTGATATTGGGAGGAAGTAAGGGAAGATGTGATATTGGGAAGAGGTACAGGAAGATGTGTACTGGAAGGAGCTATGGAAAGATGTCTTAAAGGAAGATGTACGGGAAAATTTGATATTGGGAGGAGATATGGGAAGTTGTGGTAACAGAAGGAGGTACAGGAAGACGTGTAATGGGAAGAGGTATGAGAAGAAGTATAATAGAAGGGGGACAAGAAGATGTGAAAATGGAAGGTGGGGACAATAAGATGTGATAATGGAAGGTGGGGTAAGAAGATGTGTAATGGGAGGAGGAGGGAATATGTGATATTGGGAGGATGTACGGGAAGATGTGATATTGGGAGGAGGTATGGCAAGATGTGATATTGGGAGGAGGTACGGCAAGATGTGGTAATGGGAGGAGGAACAGGAAGATGTGATATTGGGAAGAGGTACGGGAAGGTGTGATAATGGGAGGAGGTATAAGAAGGTGGGATACTGAATAAGAAGAGGTTTTAATGGGAATATGTATAAGAATATGTGCAGAGGAGTTATAAGAAATGGCCACTGAAGCTTTTAGAAAAGCTACTATGGCCGTAATGACAATCAAAGAATATATTACAGGAGAAAAACTACTAAAGTTAGAACTCTGAAATGGGTGTTAATGAAAGGTTAAAGTAGCAGCAGGAGATAAAAAGTGTCAGTCAGGAGTGAGAATGGAGTTATAAAAGTCATATTATATATGGATAGTTTGCAGTGGAAGTTATAGGTAGAATGTTATATATTGGACAATTAAGAAACAAAGTCAGAGTAGTAGTTATCCTGAACAGTTAATACTGCAGGAGAGCAGTTTGAAAATAAGGGAAGTAATCATAAATAAAAAGAGAAGTTGGTTTTTCCTCACACTTTGGCACCGGAGACACTCTATACTTTGAGGAAAAGCCATGATCCCGAAGGACAGGACACTACACACTGCGGACAGAGCCCTGTAATCCTAACTCTTTAAGCAAAGTAAGGACAGAAGCTGTGAAAACAACGTGCAGTAATACTATGTAATTCCTTTAATACAAAGTAATGACTGATCCTCAAAGAGACACAATATCGGATTTCTCAGCTCCAGGGCTAGCCTCGCATGTGGTGATACCAGCTGGTACAACCAGTGCTTTACCCCCATAAATGTCTCCCCATTTTCTTTACAATATGGACTGCAAAGATTGCCAGAATGAACATGTGTAGAGTGTATTGAAGGACCTCTCAGCATGAAGGGGGCTGACATACACCATATTAAAAGGTACGCAACATTTTATTTCCCTTGCAAAAAAGGTGGCGAGCAAGCTACATGTTGAGCTGCCCCTTCCCACGGACTTTTAAATGCCTTACGAGATGGATGTGTAATTCCCTGAGGGAGCAAGGTATATTTATATATGTAACACATTCTATATACATATTGCACATTAGAAGGGGTAGGGGGAAAGTGCAAACAAAAAATGAGAATAAACTGTTACAGAAAGCGTCTTGGAATGTTCTATTGCAGCGATGGCCAATCTTTATACGCATGGCGAGCGTGAGTTCCATTTCCCATGATGCTTAGCCTGCCTTTAGGTTAACTGAGCATTGTGGGGCATTTAGCTCACATACATCCATGGGCCAAGATTAGACATGACTTTTCTAAAGTAGGTACAGTCAGTTTACAAAATGCCAAATAATGCCAAATAAACATGCAGCAATCCACAGAAGTGCCAAGTACAGTCTACTTATAAAACCAAAAACCAGTTGTCAAAAGTTACAGCTGGAACTATAACTTAGCTGTAGAATCAGCTATTTTAAAGTATGCAATTTGGCTTTCAATCTACAATTTGGTGGTAAATGAATAATCCCATAACCGTCAGGGCACAATGGGTTTCATAAATTAAAATAATTGGTTTTCTCATTAAGGTCCAATGGTATGCTAGCGTGGCATGATATAAAAGGGATAATTTATCATTGTATTTAAGAGTTTATTTTTCTTTGTACTTTCATTTCAAAGCTTCAAATGGAAATTATATTGAGTCTAGGGTAAAAGATGATACTCTGCATCACTGTGGATTACAGCATGTTCATTAAGACATTCTCATCTCCCATAACAAATCATTATAATTATGTCAGAACAAAACAAAATGACATTTCTGCTATGGCACAAGTAAGAAAATTAAACACTTAAGAAGATTTTTGTTATTTTTTTTTGCTTGTTTTTTTTGAACCATAGACAAATTTCATTAAAATACAAAGTTCTCCTTTGATTGTTTTTTTTCTCCTTAGAAAATTTTTACAATAATTCTTTAGTTTGTATTATTTTTTTTCACATTACAAAAATCTTTTTATCGTTATGTCCGCTAAACAAATCACATTTTTTATTGCAGGAATATTTCAAGTGCCATTAACTATTTATACAAGGGTTAAAAAAATAGACATTTTTATTAATTATTATTATTATTATTTTTGTTTTCTAAAGTGGTCCAGGCTTTGTATTAAATATTGTCATTTTCTCCCCTCCCCACTTTAATTACACACAGCACAACACTTAAAGCAGCCAAAAAACACACACACACACTGAATCGCAAAATTTCATTTGTGGTTGAAAGGGCGCAGAGGAACAACCATGAGTCAGGGGTCTTACTGACACCCACTCATTATAACGGTGTCACCAAATCATATCTTAATACACTTTATTCCCAAACCAGGAATTATGAAGAACTTACCAAGGAATTGCAAATTCTAGGCCAAAACAGCATAGCTGAAAATAGCTCCACTTGGATCTTTTCTCTGCAATTCTCAACATTTATATTAAATAATAGCTATTTCCACGGGGTGTGGCATTTAGACTAAATGGCTATCAAAGCTGTGTTTTCATTGCCTGAAACATGTAGATCCCAAGACCAATGAGTGATCCTTTAATTTAATTTTAACCACTGTTATTTATTACGTGTCCATTGTTCACAATTTCAAAGTGAATTTTATGTCAAAATTAGATAACCAAAAGCAGATCGATTAGATGGTTTATGTTGTTTTCTTTTTTTCTTTCTTTACTATCTTGGCCCAAAATTTGAAATTTAAAGATCAGTGAATAACCCTGTATGGTAATAGTTTCTATGTATTGTGTTGTAAGTCCTTGGACCTACTAGTACCCTGATACACAGATAGAAGCTACAAATATGGCTGCCTCACAGAATGCACACACACCTGTTTCATCCCATAACAAATCACAGGCATCCAGCTATGCATTGTGAGAAGGTACATTAAATACTTGGGAGGAGGTGAATACATTCATATCTGTATGTATCCAGCGCAACAGCCATACTGGTGGAGGAGTAAGATCACCTCAAGTAGGTACGACCTCTAACCCATGCATTTTTACCCTGTACAGACTCAATTCCACATCTTACTTGAGACAGACTTAGTCCTCCATGCAGTAACACACACATAGCAGATAATATTTGGAAAGTCAAAGGATTTCTGTTAAATGTGGGTGTCAGACAATTTAATCAGTACTATTCAAACTAAGGGTTCTTGGCCCCATTAACCATCCCAATGTGAAGAATGAAGGGGAAGCCCAAACTGGTAACCTTACTATGGCCCCATGGGATCAGAATTCTTCTCTGCTGGCAGCTTCGTTAGCCCACTGCTATCTGGGAAATGCACAAAGGTTAATTCACTAAACAGTAAATTGTGGAGACCCTTAAACTGAGCCGCAGCATTACAGCTAAAATAACCAATCTGTGACTATAGGAGATTTTTCAAAAGCGGCTATTTTAGACTAAATATTGCAATTTGATTATCAATTCACTGTTTAGTCAATAAGCACCACAGTGTTTGCTTCAACTGGAAAAATGGGGTTTCAGACATTACAATAGAATTAATTATATTTTTTGTGTGTGTCTGTGATAATTTTTTAAATAATGGTCACAAATTACATGAGATGCAAAACCAGTTCTCCTTCCAACATGCTTGGTTTGGCTGTAAGTTGGCATTTTGCAGCTATGTCAGAGGTGAATTACAGGAGCCAAGAAATCATTTTAAATTACCTGCCACAATAAATGTAAATAAAAGCAAGGTCAGAGTGCATGGGAAACATCCTCAGAATGTAACTGACAGGAACAAGAGGACAAAGTGTGCATGAGACACCGGGACTGGCACTCGATGAGGGAAGAGCAGCCAACAGGAAGAAATTAAGGCATGCAGACAGTGTGACGAAAGCCAGGGAAAAGTTTAAATTGGCCAGAATGGTGAACTAATCTGGAACACAGCCTTAATTACATTTAGAGATTCACAATCCGGGTAAATTACTAAAGTGTGAATTCAAGTGCTTTTTAACATTTTTTGCCAATATCGCTAATTTGAAGACCAGCTAATTTGGAGAATTTTCCCATGTTGGCTTAAATTTCTAAATTAACTTTCAATGCTCGACAGTTGATTTTTTAAATTTTTTTTTAGTTAATAACCTGGAATGTGTTTATTTACCAGATTGGCCCGTTTAAGGATACAACCACGGTCACTATAGGTTTGTGTGCAGAGTAAAGGTCTACAGCCAAACCTGCCACATCACATACTATGATCCAGGCATCAAGTGGTTACAAATATGGAGAGCGCATGAAATCTGTACCTCCCATTATAAAGCAACAAAGGCAAGCAAGAGCAATACTGATAGAGGTGATTGTTCATATCCCTGTAGGTTGACACAATCCGGTTGTTCCTTTAAACGCCCAAACATCTGACCCGTCATCATGGTGAAGGGGATAGTTTAAAAAAAACTCTTCAGTGCACACACCAGCAGTAAACAAAATGATAGAACCAGCCATAACCACTCATCTCCGACTAAAACCAAAACGCTCAGACAACAGCAGCAGTTACCTCTCGAAAACTCTCTTGAAATATCTATTGCTTTTTTTTTCTTTTTTAAACTAAATTTCAATGCCTGATGTGCGCACAAATCATAATCGAAAAAAAATTATAATTACAGATCACTAAACAATGGAGAAAATAATAGCAGTAGAAAACAAAAGGTGCAAAATGAAACAAAAAAGTGCCATATTGAATCGGACCGGACAAAAACCCTAAATCCGGTCCCTACACTTTATATGCTATCTTTTTTTTTTCTTTTCTTTTTTTTTTGCCACATAAATGTTCATGCCCACGTACCCTGTAATACATATATCTATATATAAATATTATTTTTTTGTATTGCTAGAGACTTCTGAAGTCTCATGGTTAAAAACGCAGGCTTGGTTCTATCTTACCAGCCTGACCTGCGGTTGGTCCATAAGCTCTCTCCTTAACCTCTTGTAAACAATATCCCTGGGGTGAGAGAGGTCAAGGACAATAGTCTGTTTATAACACCCCCTCGCCCTCCTCCAGCACCCAGGTTTGCGTAAAGTGTCTTGGTTCCTCTTCTCTACGTACACGCCAGTGTACTAGAATTAGATTATTCTCTCTACGAACAGTTGGGTATTCCATATATTAGTAGAAGGGTATTCTATCCTTCAAGTTGCATGGCTGGCTCATATTCAGAGGTAAATAATTCCTTGTAGAGGGGTGGAAAGTGATGTCTCACAATGTCTGGATATATTGCTTTGAACGCCATGAGTTTCTCTGCGTGACGACCACACAATGCACGCAGGGTTGAGACTTTGCATATTAACTGCAAACAAAGAAAACATTGCTTTTAGCATCAAAACATATCCATCTACCCTTGAGATAGATAAAATTCTATAAGTTTAAGCACCGCTGATATTTGGACATTTCCGTCCCTCCTTATTTTAGCAGAAGGTTAAAGACTTTTTTTATATTTATCTGTCATTATTGCTTGTCCAAGAAGCGACATCCAAAACCCTCTCACCTTGGTTAAGATCCCATCCTCGCGATGGTTTTTCTGGAGAACATGTTGGAGTGTGAGCTGAATCTTCTGTTGAAGCTTCTCAATCTTCAGCTTTTCCTGAAGCCAAGACCGGTCTGAAGATAGAATATGCCTTTTAGACAGGAGTCATTTACAACAAGGCTCCATTGAGCCTTTAAAGCAACTCAACTCTCTACAACTAGCATATAGTATATATTTGTGAGTGGAATTTTATTTATTTTTTTACAATCTTTATTTACGTTTATTTGATTCATAGAGGATTAAAAGGAATACATAGAAATAAGATCACAACATGTTACTTCACGTACAGTTTGAAAGTGTGCAAAGACATTTGACCTTCTAACTGTGATCCACTGCGGTATTATTAACAATTAATCTATTTATTCATGGGCCAATAAGCCAACCGCAGCTCACTTTGATAAATCAGAAATGTGTCATTCGATGTTGGATTTTACGGCTTGTCCATGGGCATCCTGTCATATAAGATAACCCGAACGCCTCTCAGTGCAACTTGTAAATTAGTAGGGCAAACACGAGAAAAAGAAAGGATAGAATCCAAAGGAATGAGATTGGAAAAGGGATTGCACGGGGTTGAGAGGATAAGCAGAGGTGAGTGAAATTTCTTGGAACTTATTATCTTCTTGTACAATAATGCTTGCTTTTACTATGCTTGTTTGCTGCTACCAAGTCAAATCAGTGAAGTGGTCATGGTGCTTGGAGTAATCCTTTAACAACAGTAAGAATGGTGGGTGGAAGACCGTAAATAATAGTGGAGACAAGAGGACAAAAACTATAGAACTAACAATTGGGAACATTTAGCAGTAGTTTCACTTTGTCTGAAAGGCCTTCCATGGTGATGGTCACACTTACCTCCTGACATTAATACGAAGGCTGAGAATAGCGCTATCTCATCTTCCGTTAAGTGTAGAGAACACAAACTCTTCCCAAACTCAAACACAAAACTCATGAAGTCTTCGCACCCTGTAGAGTAAAAAGGGGAGGAATTAACATGAGCAGAGTGGTTTAATGAAGTTTATCCAGATGGTGTGGACTAAATATTCCATGATGCTCTTATAGCCATAATGCCGGTAAACGATCAAGGAATATGTAGTCCTCAACATCCAGAGTGCTGAAGATTGCCGACCCCTGCCCTAAGATGAGGAAGCTGCTCATAGGCATGTCTGAGTTTACTCCTTTTAAACACCGATTTACTTGGCTTCAGAAAATACCGCTATTGAATGTGAAGCAACGTTTTTTGATGGAGTCCTAGTTAAAAAAAATATGGCATTAGCTTGGAGCCTCGTTCTTCAGTTGTATATTAAGCATGGTGACCCATTCTTCAATTGGAATAGAATGTATATTAACGAAACACCGGAGAAGCTACACTAAACACCTTAATTTGGGGGAGTTGCCCAAGGCCTGGTGAATATGATGTGCCTGTTCCAATCAACAGGGATCCACTAAAATGGCATGGGAACCAAATCTGTGTAACTAGTTGTTAATAAACACTGATTATCTACAAGTACCCAAGTACCCAAGTTGAGAGACATATTTGTGATGGGGTCTGTTACTACACAAAAGGAATCAGTCAATCAAACATTTCCTAAAGCTCACTCTGTCATAATTATTAGTAGGATAAATGATAAATTAACTATGGTTCAGTATCTCTTTTTTGTGCAATTCCAACAGTATTAATGCTACCAGTCTCTAAGCAAATTCACATCCTCACTGCGGACATTGTCACTTCAGTTTCAAAAGTTACCTAGACCACATTTGACGGTTTACCAAGTTATCCACTGGACCCATGTTTTTGAGACTAACACGATGCTCTTTAAGAAACTGGATAGAGAAGTGATATTGTGCATGTATGTAATAGGGCCACTTACCAAGAGATTTAAAGACTTCTATGCCCGCATATTTGCCATCAAAATAGACCGTGTTATTCTGTGAATCGAAGGCACGACACATTCTGATGAATACAACTTCTAAAGAGCCTGCAACAGCAACAAAATTATACATGATGTTTATTTTGTCCACGAACTAGAAAACACAATTTAATCAATGTCATAATATGTATTTGCATACCATCAGGTTATCAAGGTTGCACCTTTCCCCTTATATTCTCTGCTATCTCCCTTACTTGACAATCCCTTAACATTAGTCAGGCATTGCTGGAAAGTGGTACAACTTTTCAACATGTGGCAAAGACATTACCATTTTGTTGATGAATCTGTCGCTCACTGCTGTGTTTGATGCTGTAAAGACCTCCTCTTCTATACCTGGCTGTGTGATGAACTGGGGTAAATCTTTGAAATTTGCTATTCACTTCCCATGTAGGGTTCAGCAACAACTATCCACATTTGCGGTATCAAATCGGCACTCAGACATTTTCCATTCCCTTTCTAAGCATCCATATTTTAGTCAGCCTTTCCAAATTGTATGAAGCAAGTTATGTACGGAAAACTTTGTTTCAGGCTTTGCGTATTACATTGGACATGCTAGGTATTATATTTCTTCACTTTTCTATGAACAGTTTTATTTTGGGAAGCCTAAGGTGTAGAATTCCTCAGCAGGTTCTCTAATGCCCTAAGCTCTTGTGTGGCTCAGGGTTACCGAACCTTTTGTCATATTGTTACTCAGCAAGTCTATATTGTTGTCCACAAGTAGTGGAAACAGATTTCTTTTTTTATCACCTAACCTTTTGGAATTTTTCATTAGGTTACCAGGAACCTTGTGCCTACAATGATATACAATAAAAATTTCTAGACTCCATAAGGAAAGGCTATATATTCTTAGAAGACAAGAACGGAGGGTCAATATGCAGTATAATTCCACATGATTTCTCTAATCATACCTCCATCATATGTTTCCACTACGTTCGAACTTCACAACTGAACTATATACTAAGTGCTACAATGATGTTGAATATTCTGGAATTACCAAAACATGTACAAAGGTGCAGCTTGGTCTGTAGTGTAATACAAAATGAGACGGTATTGGGTAGTGTGGATTTATAGTGATTCTTACACAGCCCTACATACGATCACGGTACATCTACAAAAGTGTCCAGGCCTCCTTCTGGGTTGGTGAAACTGTGTATTTACCTGCTTTCAACAGCACTATTTGGTCATTCTGACAAAGCTCCATGAATCCATCAATGCGTTTGGCAAATTCCACCACATACTGTATGGCCTCGGTAATCTTCACTGCACAGAGTTGCCACATCACCTCCCGCTGCTGCACAGGAAAGCACATGTAGAGGTCACTAAATACCGCACACCTGGACATGTCATCATGTAAGCTATATCTCTATATGTCTCACTAATGCATATAAAGATGTTCAAAAACAAGAAACTTGAATTAACATATTCAGGATTCTTACACACACAAAAAAAAAAAAAAAAAAGAATCACAGACCGTTTCAGAGCTCTTTGGGGAAAATTTTGAGACTATGATTTCATAAATGCTGGCCTTTCCACACTAGACAGACTATAAATGAGCAAATACAATCTTGGAACGGATGGTAGTCAAATCGGGTTAATACAATATTACAATCATTAATGAGCAGACAGACCTTCATAGAGTTCATAATTGGCAATATAAAATCATTACGGGAAAAAACACAGGAACTTAAGTTTACATGAACAGGGAAAAAAATAAGTAATATTTGGGGTAACAAATATACTGGAAAAAAGTAGAAAGTAATGAGAGGCCAGATGAGTTTGATCAAGCGAGATTGTTGATCAGCTAAGAACATGTCAAGTAAAGCATAGAACATGGCTAGCAGTAGAGACATGGAGGTTTTGAAGGCATCTTGGCAAACTTTAGGTCAAGAGTAGCAGTAAAGATGTGTAAGGGAAGACTGGAACGGAGACAGTTCATAGGAAATAAGAAGACACAAAGAAAGACATCAGAGGAATATCAAGATACGAGTTCAAATGGAAACGATGACTGTTAAGGTATGGCTAATAAGAAAGAAAATAAAAACAATAAATTGAAGAATTGTGATGGTGAGCCCAGGGAAGGTATAAGGAAGTACAATGAATATAATGATTGGAATATGATTGGAATAGGAAAGGCAAGGGAAAAAAAGAATAGGCAACTACAGTTAAGAGAAAACCAATATTGTCTCCACATCTATTAGAAGAGGGGATTATGGAAAAGGCAGATAATACTGCTGTTAAGTGGAGAAGATATTGCAGTATTTATGAAAGAAGAATCCATTTTTTTTTTACTATGGCCATTAAAGCTAGGTGATGTTAAAGAGTTGATCTAAGGTAACGGCAGTCTTCCTGCATCCCGATTTAGTGTTCTAAAGTGAGAAGGGAGGTCCAGCATCAGCAGGCCTAAGTGCTGTACCATTAGATTTACGAGAGGTTCCACAGATTAAGGAGTGTTTTCAAATGAAAATGTAGTTGTTGTAGTTTACACAATAATAGTGCGAGAAGCCAAGATGAATTTTAGTGTATAGTGGGAGAGGTCAGGATATGGTACTAGTGTGTATACACGGTATAACATTTCAAATCCTACACAAGTAGACAGTCCTAATTTCAATTTCTACATGCCAGGCCTGAATTTTCACTTGGATATGGATTTTTTTTTTTTATTTGTCACAAAGTACCATTTAACCTCACACTGTGACTTATACCTTGCTCTGGTAACTTTCAATTTCTTCCTGAAGAAAGGTCTGCCACGTAATCTGCTGAAGTTCCTCTCGTAAATACTGGCATGTTTCCATATGGGACTTGGAGATATTCTGAGCGAGATGTTCTGGGAAAGAATGAGAATGGGGAAAATTAAGGCATTTGTTAATGTATATCAGTATGGAATCATAAATAACAAAATAATTGGCTCTGGAATTACAAAAGGTTATGTTTTAACATGAATACTTGAGACTCTGTAGCCAGAGCACTAAGGACTGAGCTATCTCAGTGCCACCAGGCCAAATCGAAAGGGTTTACTCCATAAACACTGAACAGCAGCGAATTGGAAACTAAATTGCAAGATTTCAGCCAAAAATTGCAAAATTTCATCCAAGCTGTTCGATGCAGATTTAGTTTGTACTAAATCAGTTAATTTTTCAGAAATTTAGCAATTTAGTTTTCCATTCACTACAATTTGGTGCATGATGAATAAAACCCTTAGTGTTTGACATATTTAGTGGTTTTGTTGACTTAAAGTGGCTTCGCCAACTCAAACTTGCTTCTATGGTTTCCTCTTGTCTTTCAAAATGTGCTCTTCTTTTCTTCATTTCTGTATTTCAATTACACTTGTTGTAACAAAATGTCGACAAAGAGTGGAGCATAAGGCAAGCTTCACTTTCTTTGTTATCTCGACATAAGGAAGTGGAGCTTGCCTTTAGCTTCACCCCTTCTCAAAATGGCCAAGCGTAGGAAAAATACACAAGGCATAGCTGTTCATACTTTGTTATAAATAACCTTATGTTATAAAAAGAAAAATACATCAGAAGTGAAGAAATAAAAGCAGATTCCGAGAGAGGAAAAGTAAAGGAAACAATACGATAAAATTAAGTTTGAGGTGTCAGAGCCACTTTATCTACAATTTGCGGAAACCAAAACAGCAAATTGAAATCCAGATGGCAAACAGTCAACATGATATAATAGCTATGTGGAGATTTATTTTTTCATTGATAATTATTTTTAAATTAATGTTAATTAGAGCTTAGTGAATAAATTTGTCTCTTTTTGACATCACCAAATGCATACTTTTTAAACTCACCACACTGATTGTAAACACCTCACTCGCACTATTTACATACAAATTTCTTAACCTTGAATAATATTTCAAAAAAAATTTAAATTAAAATATGCCAGTTTAGCTAGAATCACCCACACCCTTAATAAAAAAATAAATAAAAAAATTTGGCAATCTAATTTAAAAGCAGTAAACAAAAATGAAACGTATGCTTACTAATAGATTCGTGTGTGGCCATGGTCTACTTGTGGAATGTTTGCACACCCAAATGGAGAGGTAGAAACAATCCCAAAAAGTCTTGCGACACCATCTCCTTCCTGCTCCACTCACTGGAAATTCCCAAGTTAGCCAGGCAGAAGGGAAAGAAACCAGCGAGAAACAGATCCCGGTAGGAGCAAATCCATCAGGCATGGGCATGTTAAGGATGCCAGGGGTGGTGCTCAACGACTGTGACCACACAGATGAGAAGGAATTTATAGGTAAGAAAACATTTAACTGCAATCTTTAAGTTTGGATTCAAATATTGTTGAATGGGTAAGGCAGTGGCTGAGTAACAGCCAACAGAGGGTTGTAGTTAATGGAATATATTCGAAGCTTGGACTTGTCACCAGTGGGGTACCTCAGGGATCTGTACTTGGACCCATTCTCTTTAATATTTTTATTAGTGATATTGCAGAAGGTCTTGATGGTAAGGTATGTCTTTTTGCTGATGATACTAAGATATGTAACAGGGTTGATGTTCCAGGAGGGATAAGCCAAATGACAAATGATTTAGGTAAACTAGAAAAATGGTCAGAATTGTGGCAACTGACATTTAATGTGGATAAGTGCAAGATAATGCATCTTGGACGTAAAAACCCAAGGGCAGAGTACAGAATATTTGATAGAGTCCTAACCTCAACATATGAGGAAAGGGATTTAGGGGTGATTATTTCTGATGACTTAAAGGTAGGCAGACAATGTAATAGAGCAGCAGGAAATGCTAGCAGAATGCTTGGTTGTATAGGGAGAGGTATTAGCAGTAGAAAGAGGGAAGTGCTCATGCCATTGTACAGAACACTGGTGAGACCTCACTTAGAGTATTGTACACAGTACTGGAGACCGTATCTTCAGAAGGATATTGATACCTTAGAGAGGGTTCAGAGAAGGGCTACTAAACTGGTTCATGGATTGCGGGATAAAACTTACCAGGAAAGGTTAAAGGATCTTAACATGTATAGCTTGGAGGAAAGACGAGACAGGGGGGATATGATAGAAACATTTAAATATATAAAGGGAATCAACACAGTAAAGGAGGAGACTATATTTAAAAGAAGAAAAACTACCACAACAAGAGGACATAGTCTTAAATTAGAGGGACAAAGGTTTAAAAATAATATCAGGAAGTATTACTTTACTGAGAGGGTAGTGGATGCATGGAATAGCCTTCCAGCTGAAGTGGTAGAGGTTAACACAGTAAAGGAGTTTAAGCATGCATGGGATAGGCATAAGGCTATCCTAACTATAAGATAAGGCTAGGGACTAATGAAAGTTTTTAGAAAATTGGGCAGACTAGATGGGCCGAATGGTTCTTATCTGCCGTCACATTCTATGTTTCTATGTTTCTCATTGTAATGGGATCACAGGGAAGGAAAGGTACAGGAGCCTAAAAATGGGAACAATTTCCCACAGACCTTTACATCCAAATGCATCAGAACAACAAAGTTTGCCTAAAGCTTGCAAGTAGGACCAAATGGTTGCTCTTCAAATCTTATCCAAATCACAAGTCAAAATTTTCAGGACATAGCTACTGCTCAGTCAGTCCTTGTAGATTTATTCACCAAGAAGCAAGCGTGTTGAATCAGAGACATACGACAGAAAACCAAGAAAATACATACACCCAAGCAGCCTTTGGATCCTGTGAGATCTCCAGAACTTCCAACTTGTCCACCAGAGAGGCAAACACTTCTGGATAGAAACTCAATTCTCCCATGTGAAAGATCTGGTGATGCGAATAACAGAAAGAAGGACCTTGTTATTCTCTGCCCATTAGAGAATTCTGGGGACCTCTACCATGGCAATCCCTGGTCACGGACATTAACCTTGGCAGTAACAATATTGGACTGGAGATGGATATGGGTCACTTCAAGTAGGACAGGCCAAGACCGGGAGAGCATGACTGGACATTCACTGGTAGCCTCACTTCCAGAGGAGACCAGGTGACCCGGAGCTTGCAACACGTACACGTTATCCCACACCAAGGTTCTGGAGTCTGCTGTTGCCATAGTCTAGGTAGGCCTGCATAAATAGTGAAAACTCTACCTGCACAAAGAGCACCTGACTAGAGGGCTCAAGACAATTCTCTGAGATATGCACAGATTCCCCATCCGACTGTAGGAGGAAAAACTATTGTAAAGGCTGACAGGGTGCCCCCTCCGAGGATACAACTATGAGAACCGGAATCTTCACGAAGCCAGAGACAAGCAGCACATGGCTATGCCATAAACAAAACTGTACAAAAAAAAAGGAGACCTTGGTATTCCATGTTAGTAACTTGTTGGGATGGTTAATGCACCAGCCAAGGTTTCACGGGAGTCAGATGAGTAGGTCTAAATAAAGAAATGCATACATGTAAGAGTCTGGAGTAATAAATGACATCTATATCAGATTTAGTTAAACTGAGGGGCCGAGGATGTTAGGGCACTCAACACTTTGGTAAAGACCCATGGAGCTGTGTCTAGACTAGATTTTAATGTCACAAACTGCTAATGATGGTCAAAATAAGCAAAGCAGAGAAACCAGTAGTGGTCAGGGTGGATAGAAATATGAAGAAAGACATTGTTGAAATGCCAGGTAATTGGAAAGGTGGACTTTCTGCAGAAAGGAAATAACCAACCTCAAAGATAGGAACTCTTATAAATCAATTCAAGAACTTTATCTCCAAGATGGGCCAGAATGATAATTCCTTCTTTGCGACCACAAAAAGTTTGGAGTAGAAGTTTACTCTGGTTTCTGAAGGAAAGACAAGAGCACTCTCTGCATCACATTCAGTGTTTTCACCAAGTCCAGCAGTGCCTGGACTCTTTAGAAAGACATATGAAATAAAACCTACAGAGGGCAGGATTTAACTCTTGCTTGGTAACCCGAGAACATGATATTCAATACCCACAATGTTCATTAGTGGAGCAGAACCAGGAAGAGGTGATTTTTTTTTTTGGTCTGTGAAGACCTGGACCAAAAGCCAAACATGGCCTTCCAACCAAGTTTGGCACTTGTGGCCCGTTGTCCTGAAAAAAATAGGCACTTTTACCCTGGGACATCTTAAAGATAAAGAAGCATTAACTTGAAACCATAGTCAGACTAGTTTGTAAGCCACAATGACCTTTGCAGAAGGATCTTCAGAACACAATTTCTTTTGGTAAGTCTCAGAATGTAACATGTAGGCAAAGTGCCCTTGAGAAATTGGATGCTCTCCAGTGCTTTTCTTAGTGACAGATGAAAAAGCACACTCCACAGCAGAGACTGACTCCAACATGCTTGTCTCTTTAGGGGTGATTGACTACATGTGGTTAAATCCAGGCTTTATTGATTATAGAGGACATTTCTGTGTACCGGAAAGTAGTGATATACAATAGTAGCTCATCCAAAGCAGAGGCTTCAGAACTTTTGAAGTGACTCTTGAAAACACAGCCAGCAAGAGTGAAACCACAAAACCATTTTGCTGGTATGCCCACCAATTCATAAGTAAGCGTTTTTAATCCTATATAACAATAAAAGCATTTAGATACTATTTAATTGGAGGTCCTTGCCTCTCTTCTTATCTCCGGCTTTTGTGGAATACCTGTATATGCATTACCTGGAATCGAGTTTCCCACGCTGTGGGAAATATACCTCTCCACTGGTGCACTTCAAACCCAGAGCCAGGGGTGATAGGGCTCCGGTACATGTGAGTTTTCTGCCATATACTCTAAAACAATATTGTACTATTCCAACAGATAGTCTGCACTATGTTCTTTTCTGTATTTTATAGTAGATAAAAGGCAAGACATCATCCAGTTTAAGTGCGTTATATTGGTCTAACAAGAGTAAAACGCTTGTGTTTTAAATGGAATGTGAAAATGGATGCAAAGAGTTTGAAATCCTCCTCAGAAACTTGAGAGACCCCATCTGAATCCTCTTGGGAGTTGTTATCACAAAGGGAACCAAAAACAAAGACACAGAGGTAATCAAAATCTTGATAAATTATCACTATGAGATCCAAAAAGATTTCTTTATATATTTTCGGTGGTTACTGTGACTGACACGGGCAGTGACACTCTTCATCTTTTTTTTTTTATGGTTTTGTTTTTTTATACACCCCTTACAATTAAATTTTGGTTCCTTCAGCCTTTTATACTGAAATTTCTGTTTTTGCACTGTTTGTTTTGCACAAGTAACTCCTTAAGAAGAGATGGACAATCTCAAACAATAAGCTTCATGTGAGTTCAATATCTTCTTACAGCCAAACATGTGCTTTTTTTAAGTGCGGATATACCAGATAACCTCACTGGAAGTCTTTTCAGTTGTTGCTTACCATTTTGATCTTACTTAAACATCCTTCACACGGGTTAATTGGGGAGTCAGAAATAGCTTCATGGGTATCCCTTTCTAGCGCAGCCACTCTCACCCTTAGAGGCCATAATGGTGCTCTATGAGTATGTTACCTCTCCCCACAAAAATGTCCAGGAATGCAGGTGTAGATCTGGAGGAGAGGCCCAATTACTGTTGGAGGGATCAGGCATGTTCAAAGCACATGGACAAAAATAGGCTGCCATTACTAAACAGTCCACTTTGTGTAAAAGGTCCTTCCCCTAATTACAAATGTCACACTTGAAGCAAATAACTTCGTTCTCCAGGGCTTCTGAAAGATACACAGGGTGGATGCATATGCAGGTGCAAGGCTGATGCAGCAATAAGCCAAAGCCTGTGAATGCTCTCCAATGCAGCTGCTTAATGAGAATCTGAGGATCAGTGAACTCCAAGAATGCTTCTACTCACCCAGCCCATCCATGAGAGAACTATGAGAATTATGAGATAGCAGGCCATGAATGGGCATTAAACCTGGCAGGGCATAGCTGGAAAACGCTGACAGTTTTCTCTCGGCAGCCCAGGTTTCTTATTCTTACAAAACACTTGCAGGGTAGAAGATCCAGTGACAAGGAGGTCTAAGTCAAAGTGAAAAATAACACAACTTGCAGATCTTATAAAGTTAAAACAACTCTGAAGAAGATAGAAACGTAACTTGGCTTTCCCACGGAAAGAGCAGGAAGGAGGCGGCTTTCTGGGATTGTCTCTCTCTCTCTCTCTCCCTCTCCAGTTGGGGGATGTAATATTCTACAATTAATTTTGGTGGAAGGTGGCCACTTTAAGATGAAAAAGCATCTCTATTACATAACTATAAATAATGATTTAGCCCTGATATTCTGATAACACAAGTCATATTTTAATATAAAGCTAGCTTAAAGTACATTTTTTTTTGTTTATATAGTTTCAAGTCATGAACCTAAAGCACTGTGAGCAAAATTAATAGTCATTAACTCTGGTCTGCTCAACACAACTTCAGGAAATCTTTTATGTAAGCACATGCTCCTTCTACAGTGACTTACCAAGTTCTGCCATGGAAACAGTTGGGGAGGTCTCTCCATTCGTGAAGGAGCAGTATGGAAAAAAGGAAGAGGCTGGCGTGTAATCACACAGAGGCTCGGGTTTGATGCCGTTGACGTCTAAGCCAGACTGGTCTGGGGATGGTTGAATGTCAAGATAGAAGCTACTCACTGCCGACTCGGTTTTACCTTCTTCTGGTGTGTGCCCTTCCATATAGCCACTCAGGTCTTCCCGCAGTTCTGTAAGCCCATTGGGGGTTAAGCCGTACCCGGCAGGAGTCAGTGGCTCTGCCTCTCCAGGTTGCTGCTGGTGATCTCGTTGTTGTTGCATGCGATGTTTCTGTACCTCAGCATAGAGACTGTCCCTCTGTTTCTTGGACATGCGGCCAAACTTCACAGCTGAAGAGAAATAGAAAGAGAATGGCTACTTGATGAAGATCCATAGCTACTTAGTAAGTCATACTTTGCCATATGTTAGTGTCGTAATGTTAACTGCTTTATTGGCCAATTCGCTTGCTTTCCCACTTACCATCACGTGACATGCCCACAGCGAGGCATTTTTGCAATCGGCAGTGCTGACAGCGATTCCTACTTGTCCTATCAATCAAACAATTCTTTTGCCGTGGACACGAGTAGGTGGCGTTACTCTGCTGGCTACGCCGAAAAAATCCCTGAAGGAAATAAAGGGTGATACAAAATACTGTAAATATTATCTTGAAGAGTAACGTTGACATACAACAAAATGGAAAAACTCAAAAATTTAAAAAAAAGTTTATACGGATAGTGATATTCACATAACAGAAAGCCCCTTTTACACTCTGTTCCAAAATAAACTTCTGCAGTCTACTTGTAAAATCTTCAGCCACCACTACATCAGCTCACATCGTTATATCTGCCACTAACCCACAGCACTCTTCTATACATCCAGACTCTAAGTCCTCTTACTTGTTTCTGTTTTTTTTTTAAATCAAACAGCTCCCCGTGTGCCTCATTTCTACGCTAACAATCTGAAGTCACAAGGAATGGATGAAGCGGGCCTCCCTGCATTCTGACAATTCCCACCTAACAAATGGATTCCTATAGTTCATTACCATAACCATATCCAATCCTATATACACATATGTCTTAATTAGCTGCTCATTGGCTGTTTAATTACTAGGAAGCAGCTGCCAGCTGCCATACCTCTCTGTACCGGCAGCCACGCTGAGCAGTCTCTGCTCCAGCAGGTGACAAGGAGACTCTCTGAAAGCTCAGTGATTTATGGCTGGCTGCGGCAAGATACTCTGGCTCATTAATCTCCCAAATAGGGCCGGCAATTAAAATGTAGGTCTTTTTTTTTTTTTTTTACGTGTTTCTTTAGCTCTCACAGTCATGAGGACTAAACATATTCCCTGTGGTTAGAGATGCAGGTATAGATCAATATGAGAGATTCCTGTATTTATATTAACCCAGTCAGTATGTGTGTTACGTAATATACTTGTGTCCTGCGGGAGTAGCGGTGAAACAAGATCACATTCATTTATCTTCTGGGGATTGGCAAACACCTAATATTCTCATAATACAGAAGTTCTCCTTTAGATATGTCAGGGTCATACCTTAGCTCTGTGACAGATACTATTATGTGCATAAACCATTTCAGAACTTAATGCAGCATCAGATATTTTACAATTTATTGATAAAATGTAAATATGAATAAACACATTGCTACTAATGAATGGAGAGTGGAACTGTACAGCACAGGGTTTTGATCCCATAAGCAGAGTATTTAGCAACAAATGATCCTAATCATATCATTGCCAATTCATTTGTAAGCAACACAAATGAAAGCGGGGTTACCTCTCATGTAATAAAACTTTGTTATTAGTAGTGTCAGGAATACAAATATGTATTATTAACGCTATAGTGCCATAGTCACCATTTAGGTGACCAGGCCCTGCCGGTCAGGATTAAAAAGGTGCGTTTACTTACTGTTTCTGACTTGCAGTGCGGGTCACTGGCGTGCCACTCCGCCACTTTGGTTTATATCATCAAGATCGATAATAGTCAATCCAATGCTTTCCTATATGAAAGCATTGGGAGGCTAGTGTACACGCGCGGCAAAACGCCACGCTGCGCCAATCAGATGGTCTTTATGAGACTATTTGAGGAGAAGTCAGAGTGACAGTCATTGAAAGCAGGTTAATCCTGCAATGAAACCATTTTCGTTTCTGAATACATGGCACTATATGCCTATAGTGTTCCTTTAACAATGTTGTTGCTTTCACAATCCGAAAAACAGTTGAACTTTCAAAGGTTTCATGGAACCTTGATAAATCACAGAAATCACCTTTCGAGCAAGAGTTTTTGTGTGAACTAAAATCGTAACCACCTTGACTGAGTTGATGTTAAAAAGCAATGCCACCAGTTACACTAACAATTCCTCATTAATTAACTAAAACAATGAATGGACTAATAAGCTCCGTAACAACAAAATAAAGTAACAAAAACAGCTAACACAGAAAAAACACACATACGTACACTTCACCCAAAATCTCTGATCTCAACGTGCTCAAAGAAATGTAAACACATATCAATGACAATTAATAACACAAAAGGTTAATGACACACGTCACCTATTGTCATCACTATAAAAGGGGTCAAACAGGCAGATCAGAGATTTCTAAGATGTAACCATTTTGTTGGTCGTTAACCTTGTGATCCTGGAGTATTGATCGTGAGATTATGTGACAGACAATGCTGACTGTAGTTAAAGTGCTCGGCCACCGAAAATGAACTTTACCTAATCTGCTTCTATACAGCTTCCTGTGCCTGAATATCTTTCTATTTTTTTTGCGGAGCGCTCTAGTTTCAGTAAAATACAGAGGAAAAGTAGGGAGTAAAACTAATCCCACAGAAGGACAGAGGACAGAGAAGAAAAAAAATGGTTGCACCCAGATACTAAGATCTTGCACAAGGAAGAAAATATAAGAAGTATAAAATAAAGGCATGTGGCAAGGGGGTACAATCGTTGAGATACAAGAAGAATAAGGAAATGAAAACCAAAAGAAAAAAACCAAAAAAAAAAAACGTAAAAGGGCTGCTTTCGGCTCAGGTTGTTGATTCGATAACGATTTGTAACTTATTACCGGCAGAAAAGGGTTGTAACATTTTTTGATGGCAATTTAATTGAAACACTTAATTTTGAATAAAAACGCTATCAACAGGACACTAACTCTGGATCGTGATCAACTCTGATACTGGAATCTTTATGGCAGTTACCCTCTTATCAAAACAAAAAGATAGAACGCCTTTACTTGGCTGGCTCCTTACTTCGACATACTAAATGACAGCCTGTCATACCAGTTTGAAGAATACATTGGATGTTTATACTTCTATTTAACATATTTATAAATGATCTTGTAATGATCTTGTAATAGGCATTGAAAGCAATGTATGCCATGAATCAGTGTTTGCAGATGACACACAACTTTGTAAAGTAATTAAATGTGAGCAGGATATTGCTTTACTGCAGAGATTTGGATAGATTGGGGGACTGGGCACTAAAATGGCAGATGAAATTTAACATAGAGAAATGCAAAGTTATGCACTTCGGGGTTAAGAACGCACAAGCAACTTACACACTAAATGGTAGTGAATTAGGGATAACCACACACGAGAAGGATTTGGGAATTGTTAACAAATTAGGCAGCAATATGCAATGTCAATCTGCAGTTGCTAAGGCCAGTAAGATTTTGTCATGTATAAATAGGGGCATAAATTCTCGGGATGAAAATATAATTTTGCCTCTTTATAAATTGCTGGTAAGACCACACCTTGAATATGCTGTGCAATTTTGGGCGCCTGTTCTAAAGAAGGATATCATGGCACTGGAGAGGGTCCAGAGACGAGCTACAAAATTGATAAAAGGAATGGAGCATTTTAGTTATGAAGAAAGGTTAAAAAAATTAAATCTGTTTAGTTTGGAAAAACGGCGCCTGAGAGGGGATATGATAACTTTATACAAATATATTCGGGGCCAGTACAAACCTTTATCTGGAAATCTATTCATAAACAGGGCAATACATAGGACATGAGGTCACACATTTAGGCTGGAAGAAAGGAGATTTCATCTAAGGCAAAGAAAAGGTTTTTTTACAGTAAGAACAATAAGGATATGGAATTCTCTGCCTGAAGAGGTGGTTTTGTCAGAGTCCGTACAGATGTTTAACCCCTTAAGGACACATGACATGTGTGACATGTCATGATTCCCTTTTATTCCAGAAGTTTGGTACTTAAGGGGTTAAACTGCAATTGGATAAATACTTACAAAAACATAACATACAGGGATATAATTTCTAATTAGTGGGGTAATAGCTGCTTGATCCACGGAGACATCTGACTGCTATTTTGGGGTCAAGAATTAATTTATTCCTAGTTTGTGGCAAAATTGGAAGCGCTTCAGACCAGATTTTTTGCCTTCTTTTGGATCAACAGCAACAACATTTGTGAGGAAGGCTGAACTTGATGAACGCAAGTCTCTTTTCAGCTATGTAACTATGTAACTATGTAAGAACACACACTGCTTTTAGTATGGCCAATCTCTTTTTCACTTTCTCCTGAATAAACTTCAGCTGGTAAAAGATTCAAAACAAATGGATTGAAACACATTAAATCAACGCTCCACCACCTGTACTGGATTACAGTGATAACCCACATCAAGAACAAGGTACCATTGGTGGTGTTTCTAGATTTCTCTAATTCCAGAGGTCTGGACTGCCACGAGTTTCCCCTTGTTTAAATAGGGCTCCAAGACACAATTTTGCACCAAATGAGTTTGTTTTTTTGTCCCCACTGAGGATATATCTAAATAAAGCTTGCAATAAAATGCTGTTCTCTTGTCTGCAGCCTTTGCAAGCCCTCCTCTTCTCCGCCAGCACAGACTTTTTGTGCAGCTCAATGAGAAGTCTCTGCATGACAAGTGCTCTGAGCAATTGCTGACTCTTGAGTTTAGCTCTACTGAATTAAACAAACCAGGAAGTAATAGGACTGGTTCTCTGATTGACAGCCTGGTGGGTGTAACAAGGTTAAAGGGACAATAGAGTCACCAGAACCACTACTGATTAACGTTCTGGTGTCTATAGGATGTCACATCAGTCTTAACACTGTAAACACTGCCTTTTCAGAGAAAAAGCAGCGTTTACACTGCTGCTTAGGAACATCTCGAGTGGCAGTCACTTAGACGGCCACTAGAGGTGCTATTTAGTTTAGTGCTGCACACTGCGTTTAGCTTCTCCACGCTCTACATGGAGACACTGCAAATTTCACATAAAGATGCACCGATTTAATGCAGCAGTCTCCTAAAGCTTTCCTATGGGAAAGTAATGGATTGGCAGAGATCATCAAATTTGGTGATCTCAGTCACGAAGGCGGAACAAGGCAAGATGAGACCAGCATGTTGTGGGAGAAAAGCTTAACCCTCCACTCCCCCCCCCAAAAAACCCCCAAAAAACCTTTTTACTGCAAAAGGAGGAGGCCGGTGACCTAAACAGCTGCTTCAGGATTATATACAATATATTATGATCAAGTCTCACTCAGGATTAATTACTAAAGTGAGAATTCAAAGTGAACCTATTGTAGAGTGCTACGGAATTTGTTGGCGCTATATAAATAATAATAATAATAAGTAAATTTTAGATTTAAAGTCAAAATAGCTGAATTGGAAATATTCTCTGCGGCAGCTTCCAGACTCGGCTACTTTGGCCTAACGTTTGAAATTCACTTTGATTTTGCACTTGGCAGGAATAGTCTCAAAGGATGTCTTGTTAACCCCTCAACAATCCCCCAAACAAAAAGAGTTATCAAAAAGCTGTGAAAGTATATTCATTTGACTGACATTATTACAAATTAGATGTACGTCCAGAGTGTGATTTTAAAGTGAGGATCTTCTCAGATTTGCCTTAAGATTTTTTTTCTGCCCACAAATGTGTCACTCTGTGATTAAAGTGGCCAACAGAATAGCCAGTGGACATGTGACTTTCCTGTGTATAAACTTTTATTCAGATCAAAATAAAAGCCAAGTATTAATGTTTTGGGGCTTTTTTTTTTCTCATTCTTTTCTTTTTCAAAACTGTTGACCACTTTATTCATGCAGTGTGTTCTCATATCAACCATTATAATAATGGACACAAAGTACTCCGTACTCCGCTGATTTGTAACAACTGTATTGTTTCCCCATTTAAATTTTTTTTATACGTTTACCAAACTTCTTCCCGTCACATTCACTTTATTAGACCAACGGAGCAGTTTATATGGCAAAGCATCATCATTGGAGGTGTGATCCAAAACATCTGGAGTGCTAAAGGTTACCTATGCCTGGCATAGAGAGACTTATACTGGGCCCACTGACTATATTGCAGCAAGCCTAACGGCTGGCCCTCTTGTATCTAGACTGTCGATTTTGTTCTACTGAACAGCTAATAAGAGGAAGACTCTGCTAGGTACCTAGCGACCAGGCAGACACAAGAATAAAATTAATTTTGCATAAGAAATTAATAAACCTGTTCTTAAAGCAAGGTCAGGTCTGAAACATATTCTATGTAAACATGATGAATTGTCAAAATTAATGTGATCGTTGTGAATTTCATTAGCCAGCCCAATAAATTAAGGTAGAGTTAAGACTCATCATTAACTGTGCTCATCATACACAATATTTCACAATCTCATAACCTACATTTATTTTATTGTAATTTTCATTAAAGTACAATTTTAGACAATACAATCATTGACATTGCGTCATTTACCAGGTCAAAAGAAGGGCAGTTATATGCAAGATAAGAGAATTAGCTGCGTTACATGAGAAAATAGATGCAGATTAAAATGAAAGAGCGTAGAAACCAACATACTTACATTGAAATTGAAAACCGAATGCTGTAAATAGCAAAGCATTTCTAAAGTCTCGGTGGCTCAGTAGTCAACACATTTTGGGAGTAAGAGTCCACACACTATCCATATAGCACACATTACACACTGTACCCATTGGACAACAAACCTCATACAGTCGCGCTTCTTAAACCAAATCTCAAGGACAGTCAACATTTCAAGATTCATTGGCATTGCCATTGGCTTCCCATTTTTACATTGATAAATGGCACAGTGCCCCAAATATGTATATCTTTCCAAGTCCTTCAATATCTACCAGTGTCCCCCACTAAGCATAATTGGTGCTGGTGCCTATTTTGTTTCTTTTATGTTAACTTTTCACTGTTAGGAAGCTAGGGTAGCTGCGTTGGCAATCAGAATGCTGCACTGATGGGGATTATTTTAAATCTATAAGCACTGCAATAATCGATTTTCTCCTTTTATTTTGTTTGCGTGCCAATATCTATTTGAGATGAGATTGGCAGACTGGTGCCAGGCATATGTTGAGGCCTGGTGCAAATATACACCTAAATAAAAACAAATCAATAGAGACAAATCAAAGTACTAACCTGATAATATATATCATATCATTTCCTACAATAGTTTGGCAGATTCACATATTTTTCTGAATACACGAAGTCTGCTAAATACACTGAACTGTCAATATCCATCTACTTTGCACAGCCACTGAAGAGGAGTGGACCAACATTCCACAGACCAGAATCAACAACCTGATCAACTATGCGAAGGAGATGTGTTGCAGTGCGTGAGGCAAATGGTGGTCACACCAGATACTGACTGGTTTTCAGACCCCCCGGCCCTCCCAATACAGTAAAACTGCACATATTAGAGAGGCCTTTTATTGTGGCCAGCATAAGGCACACCTGTGCAATAATCATACTGTCTAATCAGCATCTTGATATGCCACACCTGTGAGATGGATGGATTATCTCAGCAAAGGAGAAGTGCACCCTAGCACAGATTTAGACAGATTTGTGAACAATATTTGAGAGAAATAGGCCTTTTATGTACATAGAAAAGGTCTACGATCTCTGAGTTCAGCACATGAAAAATGGGGGCAAAAACAAAAGTGTTGCGTTTATAATTTTATTCAGTGTAATTCACTCACGAAAGGGTTCAGAACCACTGGCATGAGCAAAACCTGTAGAATTCAGAGCAGGCACCATCACAACAAACAAACCAGAAATGTACTAAATGCAAACTTTGCAGCCTGTCACCCAAACGCATACATACACTTAAAGTTCCCATTGATAATTCTGCCTCCAGCAACTTCACACATAGTGATTTATCACATACCGCTTTCACGCAAAAAACTAAAAGTGTATATGACCCATCACTGAGAATACGGAGATTACTTCCTTAAAAATCAATACTACATACCTCCAATGGGGCTGCAATTTAAACAACAAGTATCCTTTACGGTAACATGGCTGCCTGTGTTTGGCATGAGAGGACTAGTGTGCTTGGAGTGTGTCTATGGAGTGTTAATAATGCATCCAACATTATAAAAAAATAAACTAAAATTCACAGATTAAACCAAATAGAAAAGTTCAAAAGTGTAATTAACAACCAATTAAAACCTTTGGGGTCTCCTGACCATATGTTGTGTTTGACTGTATAAACATCCCAATTTATGTGTCCCTTAAAATAAGAAAATAAAAAGGTCTCCCTATAAATCATATTGCCAGCATACAACAAAATACACAGCAAATTCCATCAATCTGTATAGGCTAAAAGCAGTCTTTCACCATAGACCTTTACAAGTATGACTATCTGTACCATTTACCCAGCGGCAATCTGGGTAAGTTAGTTCAGCCACTCATTTCGCACTTTCCACTAGAATAGCACTTAGCCCGTCACAATTAAATTCACTATTATATCTTCCTATTCAGAAACGCCAACCTCTAAAATTTTCATTATTTTAGTAGTTCTGCACTGATGATCCCCAATTTATATTTCATACATATTAGCCTGCAATACGTGCAGAACACGATGCGTTACTGCTATACATTAACGGCATTTTATCGCCAAAGTCTTCTGTCGCCGCCCGCAATCTTTGCAACGTCATAGCAGCTGCCAAAGCCACACTAAAACAACACCACTGTACGTAACTCTCTAAGGAGAGATGACAATTCTTGGCTTCATAAAATGTTCTAATTATTTAAAGAAGAAATGGCTGTATAAGGCTACTGATGCATAATAAGCAAACTATTTCAATGCTCTATGTTGGCGTGAAATCTTTAGGGACCAGATTGTGAAGATATTATCATAAACTGCAATTTACTGTATGTGTTCCTCTCCCACTCAGATTATAAATTCTTTAGGGCAGGGACATCTAATCCCTATGTGTATATTCACCTCCCCTGTTATAAAGTATGGATAATTAGTGTGCTAGCACCTTACGTAATGTAACCTGCACACCCATTAGTATTATGTATAAATATATAATTTATACAAAACACATATACATATATTTATGGGATTATATAGTCTTCATGGCTGATATTAGGTCACACTAATTTGTTATAATTTATTTAAATGATCTTATGTCTAATCAAACGCAGTTTGACCACGCAGAAATGGGCTGTGGCAATTTGGCACTGCTAAATCCTCTTATACAAAAACTGCTTACAGCATCTCAGAGCACAGGATGAGCTCAATGCGTGTATACATATCGTACAAACATTTGACCAGATAACGAAGAAGTGAAACCTGCTACATGTGATGTCGCAAGCCTGTGGGCTGTAAATAACCCTAGTAGTGCACTCTGTGTGCTCAGAGCCCTCCATCCTACCTGATAAAAATGTAAGAACATTAAAAGGGACACTAGAGGAACCCAGACCACTTTAGCTCATTGAAGTGGTCAGGGTGCAGTGTCCCCTTTAGTCCTGCAATGTAAAACATTGCCATTTTAGAGACACTTCCTGGAGTTTCACTGAGTTTGACTCCGTGTAACGATGCTGGACATCCTCACGCTCTGCATGAGGACAACCAGGATGAGAAAAAAAACCATAGGAAAGCATTGAGGCAATGCTTTTCTATGGAAAAGGCCTAATTTGGATGACATCAGAAGAGGCGGACCATGATCCAGCGCTGAGATATATCGAATTGGGAATCGGGCAAGTAAATAAAGTGCCATGAGACCCTTAATGTGCCATAGGGCCGTGCGGGAGGGGGAAACCAGAGGGCGCTATAGTGTTAGGAAGAACACTATGGGAGAAGGTCAACATTTTAAATTCTGCTAACGAGATGAAGATCGACAGAATGGGTTTTTGTCTACACTGTACAGTGTGAAATACAAATCACTCATTTCCATTTAATTATGCAAATATTTGAATCTTGGATAGTGAGAAAGTTTGAGCAGGGCCCTCTTCACCTCTTGTCTTTTTAGTAGTGTTTACTGCTTTCTATGTCAATACTTGTTGTTTTATATCCCCAATGTATTACTTTAAAGCGCTGTGGAATATATTGACGCTATATAAATGCAATGTAAAGTGAAAGTATTACACTGGGATAAAATAGGTTAACTGCTTGTTTTTACCCAGGGGGTAATCTGATCACCACCTTGGAATTAGGAAAAATATTCTCTTACCCCAAAGGAGGACACAGGGATGTGTGAAAGCTCTCTCACTATAAAATGCATAATCACAATTTTTTTAAATATGACAGAGAGAAACAGTGTGCAAATAAGAATTTTTTGGGGGGGATACGTTAATATACTCCTTTCCAAATATATCTTCTACGAACTACTAGAAACATGCAAAAAAATACAAACTATTACAATTTTTTTTTCTAATTTACAATTTTTGAATTTAAATTTAAAGTGGTCTTTCCCCTACCCCCAATAATTTGAGCAAAACTACAGGGGAGCAATTAGACATTGCATTTAGTTACAAACTTTGATAGTCCTTGTGACATTTTTTTTAAATATCTCACCTACACCGATTAACACAATCTCGGGACACAATGTCCTTCATGACAGAATCAGAAGGGTATTTCTCTCGAAATATCCCACAATGAAGAATTTTAAAATATTATATCCCTGGTTTTGTGCAATACTCTATAGCTTAGGCCCCCGCAGAGTATATAATTACATTTTGGTGCCTAAGGCACTAGTGGGACTAACTTGGCACTTGCCAAAGGTCACAAGTCGAAACCATGGGGGCTACTGCATTTACCTGCCTTAGACTCAATGTCACAGTCCATGCAGCTACCAAATGAGATCCTTGTGCTTTGTATAGACACATATAGATCATTATTCCCAGGGGACGTCTAGGCATAGTAACTGGGATTACTATTCTATTTGACAAGAAGAAAATCACTCGGTTGTTCTACATACTATCTCTCTGTGCAAATCTTCTGATGTATCATTAGTGAAAGTAATTAGGTTTTTCTAGCAGAGATGTATCTAAAATGTAAAAATCGGGGAATACTATACCTTGCAGCCTTCACATGTGATGACCCCGTAATGGATCCCTGAAGATTTGTCCCCACAGATTTTGCACGGAATTATTTCGATTTGAGCTGAAGAGAGAGAGGAAAGAGCAGAGTTAATTATCTTCCATTTTAAGGATTGGCCGAGATGAACTCGTACTAAATATTAAAGGCAGGATGTGATCCCAAGTCCCCCAGGCTCTTGTCCAATATTATAGCTGCTCATTAAGGCTTCTGGGTAATTAAAATGGGTCATGTAAGGATATTAGGTGTTCGATGATTTGAAATGTGTGTATGTGACACACATATATACACACACACACACACACACACACACACAGAACAGAAAAAACACCACCAGCAAAAGACCCTCCAAACACCATAACCACTTTCAATAAAAAATGTGCATTATGGGAACATAATGCCATGTTAGGGTTTATTAAGATCTCTCCAGAAACCTTGAATGGTATTATTTCCCCATACTAAATGGTTCATGCATGCCCTGTGTGTGTTGGCACGCTCATTAACAATGAAATATTAACCACTATATACAAATATATTAAAAAAAGATATGTTTGTGATTAAATTCCTCCAGTTCAAAATTTTTTAAAACTTAATTAATAATTAATCAAACTTACTAGATAAATAAATCTCATTAAATCTTGTAACTTTTTTTTTTTTACCAAGTTTGGATATTACATGTAGGCTTGTACATGCCTGATTTGCGTACATCCAGTAGCTGGGCATCAGAAATTAAATTATTGATGTGCATTTAGCTGTTACTGTGTACAAGTGCAGTTTGTCTGAGAATTCCTGATCAGTAGACAGAGGGCTTTTTTTTTTTTTTTTTAATCAAAAATAGCCAAAATGGAAAAATCCTCCAAACCAGCCAATTTTTTTATTTTTGTCTATTCTCTACAGTTCCTGTTTATTGAATACCCTGCTTGGTCTGTCCTATATACTATGAGCCAAGGAATATACTGAGTTCTGATCTACCAGTTTACAGGAGGGTCCTAGTTAAATCTTAGATCAATAAAACACATCTTCACTTGCTTCTATCATACTTGTTACACGGCAGCTTCATTAATGCACTCCATGTTTCACCTCTACACCAACCAATCTCAAATAACTACTGTGATGAGAATCATTCTGATTAGAAAGCATGATAGAATTGCATGCTATAAACCCCCAACACACACACACACGTTGCTGAATATAATTCTGTGGGAATTTTGGGTTCAACATCTGGATGTCTGATCTTTAGCAAGCTTACGTGAAGGTGATCACCGATCCCACATAGCATGCAGAAGCTAGATCATTTCACCCCCACATTGATCTCTGTTAGTTCGAATCAGATCATGCAGCAATAATAGTTCACTAAACTGGGATTTGTGGAGAATGGACAATATAAAAATGAAAATAAATAAATAAAAAGATAAGACAGAGATTGGATACCAGCTAACAAAAAGTTGAGTGGCAATTGCAGGTTCTACAACTGTTTGAAACATTGAAAAATAAGAACGTGGACTTGACTCGAACAAAAAATTTTTTTCAATCGATATGAACAGTGATTTAAAAAAAAAAAAAGAAAAAATCCAACATCACCATAATATCTTGTAAATCACAATACGGCTGAACAGGGGGAGCATTGGCTCAAAGTACTAATGTGTTTTGTAGCTTAAACGGACACTATATGCCCCCACACCACTTCATCTATGGGTGCACACTGTCCCCTTTCAGAAAATATATATTGCAAGGTTAAGACTGTCTCTAGTGGATGTCTGCCAGACTCTACCAGGCTCTTCCTGCATTTACGCAAAGTTTAACTCCATGAAACGACACTGGGCATAGGGGGCGGGCAGTGCGACGGCTGAGCCATAGAAACGTACTACACATCAGATTCATGCTGTATCCACAAAAAAACCCAACCAAACCACTAATATTTTAGCACAATCCTAAATATATAAAGATGTCCGTTACCGGAGGCGCCAAATAGATCTTCAACTTGCACTCTCATGTGGGTAGGCCTAAGATGGTATATTGTATTATAAAAATGAATCCTGTTTGTAAGATTTCACATGTATTTTGTGTCATGTGATTCACGCAAAAATAAAGAATAAAAAATAAGAACATTTTTACACTGAACGTCCTCATGCTGCGAATGAGGATGTCCAGCATCTTCAAATCCCCCATAGTAAAGTATTGATTTAAATGCTTTCCGATGGGGAAGGCCTGATGCGCGCGGGGAGTTCGCCATGCATGCGCATTAGAATCCTCCCTCGGAGATGACGTTAGAGGTGGTGGAAACAGAGCCAGCACCAAAAGGACTCCAGTGCTTGAATCTGGTAAGTGTTTAAAATATTTTTATCCCTATATTTGTGAGGGGGGGGGAGACACTATAGAGTTACAGCTTTGTATTCCTAACACTATAGTGTTTCTTTGACGCCACTCTGATGAACTGCCGTTAATGTAAGAAACTTGTTTGTGCTTTGATCCACTGCTAGCCCTTGTTTGTCCCAGGCTTATTATGATTTACAAGAAATAAAGTTGAGGTTACATTTTTTTTCTCTCTATCTGTGTGGATTGAGGCATTTATTTCCTCGACTGAAGTCTGTTGCTTTTTTCCCCAGTGTTTGTGGAGAACTGACAAAGAAATTGTACATTTCACGTCAAAAGAGCTGACTTTCAAACATTTACCAAGTCAGCTGATTTCTATTTTTTTTTCTTCTTTTCTATTTTGGATGAAGATCACACTTTATAAAAAGGATGAAGGCAGCGAGACTGTGCAAGTCTTAATTAGGAAGGGTTGGCCAACACACAGTGGGAGGAATATGACATAATAATAATAATACAGATTAACGATATACTCTTAATGAAAATGATTATATCATTGCAATGTGTGTACATCTGCTGATAAGGAACACATTGTTCTCTATATTAATTTTGAGTATCATTACGCCCATCTTGAATATTTTAGAACGTGCAAAGTCACAAGAAGTGTTTGCAAAACAATAGATAAGTCTTAATGTACTAATAAACTTGTTGCAGGTCTATGTTAGTTGACATTGAAGGCCAAACCCACATAATCGGGGTTATTTACTAAAGTCAGGCTTGTCGGGAATTCTAAGTGAATTTCAAGTTTTTAAGGCCAAAAATTGTCCAAGTCAGCTATGCTTCCAGGTTGGCTATTTTGGTCTAAAATGTGAAATTCACTTTGAAATTCTAAAAATTCTAACAACTGTCTCCATATAATGAAGGTTAATATCTACACCAGATGTTTAAATCATAAAAATCTTGATACTGCAGTTAAAGCAGATTATAATTTTTTTATTTATTTGGGAATTAAAACTATAATGCAGAGCTGTCCAACCTGCGGCCCCACAGATGTTGCTGAACTACAACTCCCATGATCCTTTCAATTAAACAGATAGCAAGGGAATCATGGGAGTTGTAGTTCAGCAACATCTGGGGGGGCCACAGGTTGGACAGCCCGGCATTAATGGTTAGTCTCAAAGACCATAAATATATTGAATAAAGTGACCAAAACCAATAAAATATACAGTTTAGAAATGAATAGATCCCTAAATCCTGGCACTGAACGGGTGAAATCAATGGAAGTAATCAAACCCTTTGCTAACAGTTAAACGTCTTACCCAGGGTAAACTTAGACTTGCTCTCTTACTTGAGGTATCTGTGAGACCTCAAGGAAGAGACAAACAAGCTTCTTCTTGGCAACTCAAAAGAACTCAGTTTATTGTAGAAACATCCAGCTTCCATAGATCACAGCATAGGCGTGCGCAGCCTATTGCATTAGGGTGTGCACCCTAAAGCACAAGCACACGCCGCATATATATATATATATACACACACATATACACACACACACTGTTGTGTGTGTGTGTGTGATGTGTGTGTGACAGTGCCGGTAGTGTGCTATGTGGGTGAGGGTGTTTGTGTGTGCGCGCTTGTGAGGGTGCTGTTAATGTACTGTGTGTGAGGGTGCTGTTTGTGTGTGTGCTTGTGAGGGTGTTGTTAATGTACTGTGTGTGAGGGTGCTGTTTGTGTGTGTGCTTGTGAGGGTGTTGTTAATGTACTGTGTGTGAGGGTGCTGTTTGTGTGTGAGGGTACTGGTAGTGTGCTGTGTGTGTGTTTGTTAGCGTCCTGTTTGTGAGGGTACTGTTAGTGTGCTGTGTGTGTGTGAGGGTGCTGTTTGTGTGCTGTGTGTAAGGGTGCTGTGTGTCTGTGGGTGCTGTATGTCTGTGGGTGTTGTGTATGTCTATGGGTGCTGTATGTGTGTAGGTGCTGTGTATGTCTGTGGGTGCTGTATGAGTGTAGGTGCTGTGTATGTCTGTTGGTGCTGTGTATGTCTGTGGGTGCTATATGTGTGTTGGTGCTGTGTATGTCTTTGGGTGCTGTATGTGTGTTGGAGCTGTGTATGTCTGTGGGTGCTGTATGTGTTTTGGTGCTGTGTATGTCTGTGGGTGCTGTATGTGTGTTGGTGCTGTGTATGTCTGTGGGTGCTGTATGTGTGTTGGTGCTGTGTATGTCTGTGGGTGTTGTATGTGTGTGTGTGGGTGCTGTATGTGTGTAGGTGCTGTGCATGTCTGTGGGTGTTGTATGTGTGTGTGTGGGTGCTGTATGTGTGTGGGTGCTGTGTATGTCTGTGGGTGCTATGTATCATGTCTGTGGGTGCTGTGTATGTCTGTGTGCAGAGCCTGTGGGGCTAGAGTTCACTCTTGCGAGATTTGAGCGTTGCTGTGGCAACGCTCATATCTCGCGAGAGGAACCTGGCGGAGCTACTGGCACGAGCTTCGCCGGTCCTCTCCTGCCTCCCTCCCTGCATGTGGGTCGGTGGGGAGGGAGGCTGAGAGCAGAGCCGGCGCTCGGATAGCACCGGCTCTGCATGAGCCGACAGGGGAGATCCTGAGATCTCCCCTGCCGGTCTCAATATACATAGGCGTGCTGCGTGGATTACGGTGTGCCCCGGCACACCCCGTGCGCATGCCTATGGATCACAGCATACAGTAAAACATATTGTACAAATATTTACACTAATAGGAATACAGAACACACCCTTTATTAAACTTAGACTCAATGAAAAATACACAAAAATACTTAATTGCACATTTTTTAATCCATAAATCCTTTTCCTGTTGAAGCTGATTATATAGGAATCTTATAATTTCTGCTTTCCCATTTAATACAGTTATAATGTATCTGACTGACGTGGAGTATAATGTATTATGCTAACTTGGCTAATAAAAATGTACGCCTTTATTTAATTCTTCACTTACCATTCATGATGAAACATTTGAATTTTCTTTTCTTTTTTTTTTTTAAAATGTAATATGCAGTTAAAAATTTGTTAGGATGTATTTCTGTTATATAGTCTCTGAAAAAAACAAAAAACCTAACATTTATGGGGTGCAGGAGGATACTTCAGCTTACGTTCATGTGGCAGTGAACAAACAGGGCAAAGGGGCAATTTATCGGTCCCTCAGAGATAATTCCACTAAGGACACAGCCCGGTCTATGAGTACATTTGGGTGGAAAAAAATTCTGAAAAAATTTCCACTACAATTTTTAATAAGGGCCAGTTATACAACCATTTTTTCATAATGAACTAAGAAGGCTTCAACCTACAGAGAGGACAGAACGAAGACCGTAATATCTCTGCTCCAGGGTTTTCACAGCGTCACAGACTATCAAATAGAAAAAAAGATAAATATCTAGGCACAGCTGAGGTTTTCTTCTAAGAGGCAGTCTTTTATTATTAACAAAAAAGTGGAGACAACGTTTTAGCTCCCCTCTGAGCCTTTATCAAATCTTTCTTGCAAACAACGTCACATACTATGGCAAGGCAGATAAAAGGGAACCATTAGATTGAGATGTCCATTTACCTATTCACTTTTTAAAATATTATTTATTTATTTTTACACAAAAAGAGTGGGTGGCAAACTCAATCCATCTGATTAAAATAGACAAAAAAATAAATATATTGACTCCTGAATACATAATGACATGGAGACAATTAACCAGAGTAGTGAGTTTGCTATCAGCCACCGTCCAGGTAATTCTTATAGGGCCATTCCTCTAGAGATCACTCCAACATCAAAAAGTAATATTTTTTTTTCCATCTTGGCCGATAGTATTCAGAAATAACTTACAGTAGTGATGGTGCGCAACAACAAAAATCGTATTCACTATGGACCTCTTATAGAGAGTGAAAGTACCCCTGTGTACATGAAATCACGGTGATTTCCATGTTTGCAAGTATACCTACAGATTGTGCTTTGTTTTACAACAACCACTGTTTGTGTTTCAATTACTAATAATATTTCCACTCTGTATACACCTCATTTCATGTACACAGAGGTACTTTCACTCTTTATAAGAGATCCATAGTGAATACGATTTTTTTTGTTGCGCACCATCACCACTGTAAGTTATTTTATGTTCAAATCGTTTTACCAGGATTTGTTTTTGTTTGTTGCTGCATGTACCAAGATCCTTCTCCCATTTGCGCCATCCTATTTATAATCGTTTTTTTCTTTTGACTCTTAGTATTCAGAAATAGTTTCAATAGCAGCTTGGGATGGACTTTACTGGTGGCTTCAACATTCGGAGAAGTGGAATGTAAGCCTTCTTCATTATGAACATTATCATTATGAAATAATCAGACTCCAGTACAGTTAGCAGAAGAATGGGCTGTGGAGATATTTCTACTGGTATGAGATGGTCAGAAAGGAAAACATATCGATTGCCTGGAACTATTGGCAGGATCATTCACACTCAAAAGTTGTGTGAAAGAAAAGACCAACTGTTGCATCTTATTCAAGATTGACAATGGCTTGGCCATTTGTTATGTCAATAATTTTAGAAGTTTGTCAAATTTAAAAACTTTGTCAAATTTAGTCGAGAAATTTTGCCCGTTTTGCTTAGGACACATCATATCAGTGGAAGAAGAATATTCGCTTGATTTGTCCAACGCTATAGCAGACTGAAAAGATCACTTGATAGACCACAACAATTGGCAAATGACAGGATTGTTCATGAAAATCATTATATCTATGGGGCCTTCTGTTTGTCAAAAGAATGAATGCAAGTCTTCCACAATTTTGCAGCTGAAGACTGGATCTTGAAGCATTAACAGTAGATGCATCACTTCATCACTGGTCCCAAGGTCAGAATGATGTATTTCAACCCTTTTAGATGGTAACAAAAAAAAACATTACTTTAGGTCAAGAGATAGAATTCAATCCTGGTACTGATCAAACATTTCTTGGCAGTTCACTCATGATTCCCCAAAACTTCTAGAGGTGACAACAAATTTACTGACTGATCAAAAAATGTCTGATGCCTCTCAGGGATCCAGAAGGGAATCCCCACAAACTCCCACAAAAGGAACACAGATTTTCCATCAGCATCTTTAAATGTGGGTCATCTTTTATTTAATTCCCTCTTTGCGCAACAAATAGACTTTTCTGCACAGTGTATGGATAAGACGTAAACATTCAGGTGCATGGCAAAATCTACAGCAAATGTATAGATTAAAAGATACATTTCTCTGTACACCACAAATTGTAGCGTATTGGATGGAGTGGCTGTAAGGAAGCATACACATCACCAAACGATGCGAGCCGCATCATGCAATTCCTAGTTTGCAAGTACATGAGAATAATCGCGAGATGTATGATAGGGGGCATGGTGGCACTCTTAAATGTAATTTTTAGTGCTACGCTAATGTCATAGCATTAAAGCACAGAAAGGAAAAGTTTCATACTAAACTCTTCATCTATACTTTTACTAACACCTTGGCTAGCAGAACGTATAAATGAAATGCTATGTTGTTCTTAGTTCTATGCACTTAAATCAATATCAAACTTCAATTGTAACTTAGACAGGTTGGCAGTCTGCTATGGGACGCAAAGGGTAACAAACACAGATCAGTGTGACCAGACGTCAAAATCTTGGCCCACAAGGTAGAATAGTCAAGGTTGCATAGATCAAAGGCAGGCTGCAAGCATAAAAAATCTCAAGTGGCTTATTCGCCATACTTAAAAATTGTGGGACATGTCAGCAAGGGAAATGTAGGATTTTGGGCAAAACAAACAAGAGGGCGAATTTTTCCAATTCAGCAACTTGAATTTGCATCTACGTTTTCAGTTCCCTACAATTACTGGTTTAATAAATAAACCTCTATTAAATAGGATAGCAAAACAAAGCACACAAACACATCACAAAGCAAGGAAGGTAGATGCGTGCTGCAATTGACTTCCTGACTCGAAGGACGTGCACACTGCGAAGCTGTTGGTTACCTCCATTTACATGTATGGTGTATGGTTAAAGTGATTATATGACCACTTCCTGTTTACAAATTCACACCTTGAAACTCTACTTGGGGACCGACTCCAAAACATTCAGGAACCGTGGTCTTAATATGCACGAAACTCATCAACAAAATTGTTAATGTGAACTCTATTCTTGATTCAGCAGTGGGAGTGCAGTAGGCAGGGCCTTTTTAATCACCAACCCTTGGTATCACATGCCCACTGCAAAACTCCAAAAGTAAAAAGGATAAAGAACTTGCATCGAGGTATCTAAAAAAACTAGTCTGCAAGCAGTACCATTTAAATGTGTGAGCAAACAAGGTATACACTGGGTATATAACAGTCCGACAAACATTTGTGAGAAGTTCATATAATGAGAACTGCTGGAACAAGATATCAGATTTCCATGTCCCCAGAATATTTGATTCACGTTGAGACAGAGGTCTTCCAGAATTTGGACATAAAATATTGACTCTTCGAGAAGATACCTCAATTCACCAAACATCATTGTTACAGCTAGTAACTGTTGTGTACACTGTAGTTGAGCTTTTCCCTTTTAGAGTTTCTAAAAACAAACAAAACAAACCTAGATCCACAGATTTAAAATTCAAGTTGTGAAGTTTCTTCCTGGAGTTACTTGAAATGACGCTTTGTAGCCTTTTTTTTAGATTGCCGGTAGCATATGCTGCCACAATTCCTCTTACAAGCTTATCCAACATCTGTAATCAATTCTTCTCTGTTGTCTGGTTACATATCCTTAAGTTTGGAAAACAGCAAGATTTAATTCAGTCTTGAACAGAGGAATAAAAAACGCAGGCCTACTAATTGTCCAAACTTCTGAAACCCACTTCAGTCAGTTTTTCCATTCAAATCACTGCCATAAGTGGCATGGAATAATGTGAATTTACAGGGAAGTATTATTCCAGGCCTTGTACACTGCAGAGCATAATATTTTAATAAGTTCAAAACATCAGTCACTGCCTGGTGATCATTTGTTAAATGTACTTATCAGACAGAACACAATATATGGCCTTTGTCAGCTACAGCAGACTTTCCTGCTCTAAAAATATATATACATTTTTTAAAAAAATTTTTGTGTACATGCCAAATGTACTAATGTGTTTACTCACCATGATTACCCACATTCTGCATATGTTTGGGAGCTGTGACAGTGCAAGTGCATACATGTACATGTATGGAATAATGCCAGAGTTTATATGTTCACACATGGAACTTCCTAAAAGACGCATGGTGCAGGGATGAGTACACGCGAAGTACCATGAGGTGATTAAATCACCCACAATTACCACTACAAACATAGCATGCATGAACTAAGTGATCAGGTGCTTATAGATTGGTACATATTGCAAGTTGAAAGTGAATTCATGTATGTAAATTAAAAAAAGAAATTAAACCATCTCTTTTGAATTTTTACTATAATTTTATTTTATTTTCTCTGAACTTGTATGAATAATAATTCTTGTGTTTTAGTACTTGTTAACTCATGGTTATTTGCCTATAAACTAAATATCACTAAATACTGCACACAGTCACACAGTCAGATAGCCCAAAATAGTCAAAGCATTAAATTAACCACATACAGTAGAGTAGAGGGTAACATCGCAACTGTAATCACTAGTCAATTTCAATATTTTTGTCATAATTCATGTCAATGTATAGAACAAAATTTCAAATGAAGTATATATATTCAAAATAAGCAACAAAATTACGTGAATATGTACATGCAGGTACATTCGTCAACGTATAGCTGATTGCAGTATAGATTAACACAAAAAAAATAGTTTTTTTTGTTTTGTTTTTTTTTAGTAATAGATGATTAAGCACTAGGATATAATTCTGATTGGGATAACCACATTCCTTCCTAAATCACATTTATATTTTCACTCTTAATTTGGTTTGTTGCAGTATTGAGAAACTGCTTGATAAACATATGTTGAGCCAAACTTTAACCTGCGTGAGGGATGATTTCAATAGAAATTCATTGAGCACTGCTAGGAGGATGCGGGAGCAATTGTTCTGTACAATTAGAAAAATGGGGGTTGCTCATTAAAGCCCTTCCAATTCCCCGCTTCTAAATTATATAAACATGGCTTTCAGTACTACAACAGTGTACACAACACCTGCTGTCTCATGGCAGTATTTCTAAACATCTGATTGACGAATTCTAAAAACAAACTGGTTTTAGCGCATGTATTTGAGTGGTGTTGGCTAAAAAGTAAAAATCACTCAAACATCACTCACTCAAGCAATCTCCAGGTTGTTAGAATTAAAAAACAAACAACAAAAAAACTGTTACACTGAAGAAACAAATACAAGTGTGTCTAATGATCTAATGCACGTTCGTGACTGATATTCCTCTATTTACTTCCTCTACATATAATAAATACTAAAATGTATACTGAGAAAAACTAAATTGGTCTCTGTCTAACAGATAGACAGAGAGTGACAAACGCTCAATCATTTTTCACTTTCAGTGTTTCATTGTCACTGTCGACCAGTTTCACTCAATGTGTATTCTTTAATTCTTTGTAGTTTTTCACTCGCAGAGTATTTCTCTGGCTGTTTCTCTTATGTAATATCTGACTTTTACTCAATCCAAGCCTCCCAATGCTTTCGATTCCAGTGGCACAGGACCCCAAAATTGGTGCCAGGTTTGTTTCCCAATGTCCTGCTTTTGGGGACTCCTGGAAACTCAAAAAGCATAACACCAGCGCCTCGTTAGATGCATTAGATCAGGGGTGCCAAAAAGGTAGATCACCAGATGTTGTAGAACTACAGCTTCCATTCTAAAGGCATGCAAAGCATCATGGGAATTGTAGTCTTACAACATCTGGGAATCTATCTTTTTGGGGACCCCTGCATTAGATGCTTAGGGCACAAGGACCAGTGCTGAATCAGTGCTCCCCAGCACGGTTCGCCCTCAGTGAGCCAGCCTGAGTGATTGGCAGGCAGGCTGACATACATTCACCACGCTGATGTGCTAGTTATTCAGGTGGATGTACACTCATTTCATATAGGTCCGCCCCTTCGTGCTGTGCCAGTGAACTGCACGTCACTGGTCCAGACAGTAGGAGACTGACAGAGTGAGTGAATGGCAAAGAGTCAGCCAATGCCAAAAAGACAAAAAAAAAACAACAAAAAATCTTTATTCACCAAACTGTGAACTGAAGAAAACCATGAACTGCATAATATAGCGTGAAATCACCAAGCCACGTCTATAGACCAGGAAGAGTGTTCATTTAGTGGTTTGGTTTTTAATTCACTACAATTCTGTGTTTAGTTAATAAGCCCCCGTGAATTCAAGGTAAAAGGATAAGAAGACAAAAAAATGGGGAGAGTGAACCGCAAAGGAACAGATCCCTACGGGAATTAAAGGCTATCTGGAAAAAGGGGATCAGAGGTGTGTCAGTTTGCAGCCTTGGACTAAAAGACATTCCTGTTTAAAAGAACACTGGGTGTGTAGATATCCATTAAGCTGTATGCACTGTACACTTAATTATATGTGTACTATACAAAACCAGCTTTTCAAAACAGGTAGGAGAAGTTTATTACATAACTACGCTGATATTGGCAGTTTAACAACGAATGCAACTTGCTTTATTAAGAAATAATCGAGAGATTAATTTATGGGCACAGCACAGTCTGGAAATAGCATCTAGAACTCGGGTGGCCAGTGAATAATGGTGAACTAAAAACAGAAATGGAACTTCTAGAATAGACTCTTGAAGTTAGAAAAACAGCTGAATTTTTACAACGCAGTTTATTTGGCCTTTATTTTGCAATTCAGCTGTCAATTCAACACATTCTGCTGTTTAGTGTATAAACCCTATTCTAGTTATCAAGCTCACTGCAGTGGATATCCAGACAACGCAACATCGAACAATAAGCTTTAGAATTCTTACAGCAACTTTAATTAGCAATACAACAGATATATCCACGGATGTGTAGCTTTGCAGTCACACACAATATACACTGCTCAAAAAATAAAGGGAACACTTAAACAACACAATGTAACTCCAAGTCAATCACACTTCTGTGAAATCAAACTGTCCACTTACTAGGTAATATGATATTTGGGAAAATTTGAAGAAGAAAAAAAATGCAAAATGTAGGGTTGTTTGAGTGCAAAGGCAATATTTTGTGCAAAATTCACTATATTTCCTGTCTACCAATCTGTGTAAAACCACCTCTGATCTGCCTACGATTTGCCATTGTACATTCAACTTGTTTTTGGATCAATGTATTTTAGTTTTCGTCGTTTTGATCAGAAAAAAGTGGTCAGGCTAGAATGACCCAATCTGTCTCCAAATGGTGAAATTGAGAAACAATACACAGGGTTATCCACCAAAGTGTGAATTCTTTGGAATTCAAAGCGATTTGCCGCTTCAGGCCAAATGCGATATTATGGTGAAGTTTACAAACTTGAAATTTAGTTTGAATAAAACATTTACTGTGAAAACTCATTCTAGATAATTCTAGATAAGAAAAATTGACCTAGAAATTCCACAAGGGGGAGCACTGTAGTGCCGTATGTTCCAACACATCTTCACACTGACAGATGCTAGGTTATATAGCTGATTCATTGGAAAGTTTTCTTCAATGATATTAAAGAATGCCATAATAAAAATAAACAAATGTACATCAGAGAATCTCTTTCTATCCTTCATAGAATGACAGGACAGAATGAAAAATGATTTTATTCTCTGATGTAACGTCCAGTTCAGTGTATCATTGTGCCAAGGGCAGTGTGTTAGGTACATTTGTCCTTTTTACACATTGCCTCATTGTTTGCAGACTGCATGTCAATATAATGTGCACTGCCTCACTCTCCGGGATATGCTGAGACCAACAAAAGCCAAGTTATATGCAGAATTTATCACTAGCCAGATTCTAGGAGGTGAAGTAAGCGCAGAAGTGGGTGGATTAAAATTGATGGTTATTTTTATTTATTTTTTAAATTTTTTAAAAAAGATTAATTTTTTTTATTTATTTAAATCAGATTTATTTATTTATTTTAAATTTTTTTTATTTTTTTTAAAATCAAATTTATTCTAAAGAAATTCCTTTGGAGGAAATATCTACCTAAATATAGTTTTCTATTTAAGATACATCATGGTTCAAAGGTTATTCAACATGAAATAGAGCTTAAGACATATACTACGAGGCTGTATATTCATGCAATATTTACATTTTTGTAAATTAATTCAATTAATCCAAGTTATCCAATCCAAGATTAACTGCCCTTTTTCACAGTAAAAAATTGTATAAAATAAACAAAATTCAGGAAAAGATCGTGTTCTGCAAACAACAAACACATTACTTTAAGTGCTAGGTTTCAAGATTGTTAGGAGCGGAATACGTATGTACCAAGCTCTAGGTGTGTGGAGCAAAATGGAATCAGGCCGCAAAAAGTTTACCAGTTTGGGAATATTTTAGTGAAGTTTCTCTACCAGTAGGTAAAGCATGTATGTGTGCGAAATGCAAGCAATGCAACGAAGAAATGCAAAGCCTGGTAACCCGAATGAAACAACATCACCAAAAGTGCTGGAACGCACGTTAGATTCAAAGGCGCATTAGATTAAAGTATAGTTTCAGGACTAACAAAAAGGAAAGCACAGTGAAAAACACAAACCAAGCATGTGTCTCTCCCTTGCTTACCTAGTTGGTCCTCACTTTACGACCTACTCGGAGCTATGATGGGCATTCGATGTGAATTCGCCAGGACTAATTTCGCATCGCAGGGATACAAGACTTGGTTTCTGTGTACAGTAAATCTGTACCTCGTAGCAGAAGCTAGGATCTTCTTGTACAAATGCACATTACATTACCAGCAAAAAAAAATTTCGGCTTCCATGTTTAAAAATTTCATGACGCATTAGATACGAGTAAAGCCGGTATACTCGTTATTGTTACTGCATGGCAATACATTTTTATACAGTAGCTAAGAGGAAATAATGCGTTGAAATAAGCAAATATTCCTTTTTATGCTGTACTGAGTGAATACAATAAGAAATACATAATAAGCATAAAGTAGTTAAAGGAAACAATTTAAGTAGTTCTGCTAGTGTGAGTGATTAATCTATTAAACTAAAATCAGTTCTGATAGCTGTTTTAATAATCTGAAAGGCTATTACTCTACATAAGGCATCTTCATGTGATTGAAAATTTAAAGATTCTAACGACCAGCAAGAAGGAGTCTTTATATTTCAAAATCATGATTTAAAAATTGAGTCTTCCACCCATAGAAAATCCACCCTGGTGAAGAGCCACAGTTTTCTAGCTGTGTATGAATGGTATGCGGAGCCTCTCAGTGTGTTGGTTGTGTAGACAAGATATGCAGAGCCTCACTGCTCACAGGCTCCATATACATTATACGCAGAGCCTCACAACACACTGGCTCCATATACATTATACAGAGAGCCTCACAGCTCACTGGCTCCATATACATTATACGCAGAGCCTCACAGCTCACTAGCTCCATATACACTATACGCAGAGCCTCACAACACACTGGCTCCATATACATTATACAGAGAGCCTCACAGCTCACTGGCTCCATATACATTATACGCAGAGCCTCACAGCTCACTAGCTCCATATACACTATACGCAGAGCCTCACAGCACACTGGCTCCATATACATTATACACAGAGCCTCACAGCTCACTAGCTCGATATACATTATACACAGCTCACTGTACGCAGAGCCACTTAGCTCTGCAGATTTATCTGCAGTCAAAGTGCTGTTCAGCTCTGCATATTATATAGCCAGAGGGCAGAAAGGCTCTTCATATCATTAATACTTTTATTGTTTGCCTTTTTTTCCTGTTTCTCTCTGCACCGTTCCTGTGGAGCTCGCTTCCCTCCTCCGTTAGATGCTCAACCAGTCTCCACTCCTTCAAAAAATCATTAAAAACCCACTTCTTCATAAAAGTGAATCAATTAAACTGTTAATAGCTCCCGTCTGATTCCTCTTTTGCAACTGTCATTAGTCTAATACTATCCTTACCTTTTTGTGTCACTTTACCCCACTCCCTCTAGCATGTAAGCTCATTGAGCAGGGCCCTCAACCCCTCTGTTCCTGTGTGTCCAACTTGTCTGGTTACAACTACATGACTGTTCGTCCACCCACTGTAAAGCGCTGCAGAATTTGATGGTGCTATATAAATAATGACATCATAATAATAAGGATGAGATACACATGAAAAACAAAGAATGAAAGAGGGAAAGAACAAATGGTGTAGGACACATAGAGAACATCAGTGCCTTCAATCCTACTCATGTTACTGCCCTAACTCAGTGGGCAAGCTACAGATGTCATCAAAGTATTATTGCATGCTGTAGCTTTAAAATACCCTTCCACTGGAACAAAGGAGGCCATTCCTTCAATTCCCCCACCCCAAAAAAGCAGTACAAACCATATTTCTTCTTCATCAAACCTTATAGTTGACGCTTTACAGTCAGACAGAAAGCATTTTCTTTAAACCCACAAACCTTGACTTGTCTTGTTGACTGCCAAATGTTGAGTGATTCATCATTTCAGAAAACCTATTTCCTTTGGACAAGGTCCGTAGCTGGTAATCACTACAGTACTCCAGCTGACAAATGGGATAGGCTTATATGTGTGGTTGACCAACCATTTCATGAAGCTCTCAATGAACCCGTCCGGTGCAGGCAGTGCCCCCACAGGCAGCTTGGAACCAAGTTCCAAGTAACTTTAGAGGCTAAAGACGTCACCATACTGTAATCACATTCTATGAGCTAGTGTGGTCTACCATTACCCAGGGATCTGCTCACTCAGGTCTCCTATTAACAGCATACTTGTGCTTACACATAACCAGAGCAGTATCTTAAGGAAATTTAACAAATTGCAATTTTGTTGGTCCTCACAGTGCAAGCCACCTGGGGCTTAAGCTCAAAGGAAAATCTGAGGACCCCTACTAACAGAGATAGACATGTATCTGACCGGACCTCGGACTGACCCCCTGACGACCGACACTGACAGTAGAAGGAATACATACTCACGCGGACAGACCCACAGTAGGGACACGATCCGCCCTTGGATAGGACGGGGAGCTCCCAACAGTTGGATACAACTAGACAGATACTCGCTACCCACACCTACAACGCTGAAACAAGACAGCACACCAGCTTGAGAGTCGTAAGCCCAGACCCCTGCTTAAACAGTAGCTAGGGAGATATAGCGGCAGCACAGAATAGCCCCTGGGATGGCAGCCTGACTAGACCTGAAACAAACGCATACTCTCCCACACCAGCAACCCACCGCTCCGCAGTACTGGCAGACGCCGGACATATCCCCCACGAAAGACAAGCCCGGCCTACCGATTTACTCCCAGCAATAGGCTCCCTAAGACCCTATACGCTTTAGCCCGTAGGCCCCACAATGGTGAACTAACTGTGAAAAAGCCAAATGACCCCGAACTTTGGAGCATAGACTCCTAAGAGGCTCGCTATGACTGAAGATCGCATTCCGCAACCGCCACAGTAGTACACCCGATCTTGGTATTAAAAGGGCACATAATAAAAAACAAGTTCGTGGCAACAACTAACGCAGGAGTGGAGTACGAACGCTTAGTCTCTTTTACCACAGTTGACTAGGGCGCAACCGGGAAATTACAGTGGGGAGACGACCAAAAATCTCCAACACAGCAGAGGTCAGGCTATACCTTCCCTAGCTACACGACGAGGCTGCGGCCGCAAGCCTGAACACAGGCTGGTACAATAGTTAGAGCCAACTGTTTGAAATGCATGGGTTAGCAGCACAGTTCCCCTTTCCCCCTTTCTTTGCATTATTCAAATGTTGACACTGATACAGATACAATGTAAAACTACCAACTGTTACTTGTTTCTTCGAATGAAAAAGATACTAAATAAAGATTGTCAAAAAAGAAATCTGGAAAACTATAATACAGCACAAATAAAATCACAGGTCCATGGTTGAAGAAGATATATCCTTGTGAAGAGGACTCTTTCACAAGACCTTCTCTCATCACCATAAACCTTTCCTTTCAATTCCCTTATTTTAGCTTTCCCCTAGTATTCTGCACGTTTTGTTCTTTTCCTGGGAGTAGCAACCTCTTTATGAGCTATAAAAGGCTTGTTTTGTGGACAATCTCAGAAGACCTCTCACATACTCCAGGCAGGTTGGTCTTCTGAATCTATGTCTGTGGAACCATCCCTTTTTAATGGCATGGCATGGTTCCAAAATGTGAGCATGCTATAAAACATTTCCAGCATTGTTTAGGCTTGTTGTAGGAGAGGGCAATTCTGAATAAATTAGATCTAAATTAATTAAATTAATAAAAAGATCTGCGTCATACTAATAACATCATATTAAAATTAGTAATTTTGCAACGTCATGATATACTGGTTTCGAGTACCTAAAGGGGACAGTGTATTACACTTCAGCCACATGGTGAAGCCAAACTAGCTAGTATCAATATCATGCTTGGAAAAACATGTCTTCCTATTAACATAGGATAACAGGATCTCTCTCTTGTAAAGAAGCACAGACAGTCACCTAATCCAGGTGTAAGACCATATAATAGGGTTATATATATATAACTTATCATGGTATAAAATGAGCAGTATGGAGAGGTGTTGGTGAGACCTCAGTCATGGAATAAGATAATAAAACGTTTTGTAGTAAAGAAGACAGGCCCTTCCTTTACCCATGTGCGATGCTAGCCAAAAGGGTCTCTTTTCCAATGAGTACGTCGGCTTTTTTTTTTTATTGCATGATGTGCCAAAGGTTTTTATCTGCTATATTGAGGTTTGTATTCCTAACTCTTTAGTGTCCCTAGTTATCGTGGTCTCCCCCACCTCTGTGGGTGCCACAACATTTTTTAAACAAAAGGGATTTACTCACATTTTTCCAGTATGGAGGCTCCCTCGCCGCTTATTACCTTGCCTCCCATGACATCATTGAGGAGGCATGGTCTCCTCTGGCAAGGACCAGTCTCTACAAAGCTATACATAATGCTTCTGCCCCAAATATGAGTCTATTTTCTGTTCCTACTCACACCTCTGATGCCCACCTTCAATTTCTCTAGGGTTCCCTCCCTTCCCTGCTCTGTAAGACTCCCACCCAGTCTCAGTTCACTCAAAAAAATCATTATAAACTCACTTCTTTAGGAAAGCAGATCAATTAAAGTGTTAATAGCTTTCCCTCCCTGCACCTTGGTAAACCACCTTCCTTCCTCTCCTGATAATGTGTAATCAAATAAACTAACCATCCGTTGTAAACTATTCTAGTAACCTTTTTCCCCATAAATGAAAAACACCCTACCCTTACCTCTTGGGTCACTTTACCGCACTCCCTCTAGAATGTAAGCTTGTTTGAGCAGGGCCCTCAATACCCTCTGTTCCTATGCGTCCAACTTGTTTTGGTCCAAATAATTGTGTGTCAGTCCACCCATTGTACAGCTCTGCGATATTTGTTGGCAGAGTTTATAAAGAATAATAATAAGTCTCACAGAGTTGAATTGTGTACCTGCAGCGCATGCACCCAAGCTTCCACATTGGAAAGCATTGAATCAATGCTTTCCTATGGGGACTGCCAGGGCCGTCTTTAACGCGGGGCAAACGGGGCAGCTGCCCCGGGCCCAGTTACTCCTGGGGGGCCCAAAGCAGCTGCCCCGTGGCCCCACCGCCCATCAGGTGCTTGTATTGCGGCTGCCCATACTCTAAGGAGGCTCACCGGGCGGCCAATACATTTAGGGCCACCCGGTGAGCACGTTACAGCAGGGGCCCGGTCGGGTGCTGTGGCCCTTTAACAGCACGACCGGGCCCTCTGATTTACGGCAGCATGGGAGGAAGTGACGTCGGTGAGTCACTTCCTCCCTCTGAGATCATGAGCCGCGCAGGAGGAAGACTGAGCCAGGATGCAACTCCCAACCACCCCAACCAGCACACTGGACCCCAGGGAAGGTAGGAAACTAGAGGGGGCTTTACAGTTTGCATATTATGTCAGTATGTGTGTGTTTATGTCGGTCAGTAGGTCTGTGTGTGTGAGTATGACTGTGTGTGTGTCTGTCAGTAGGTCTGTGTCTGTGTGTGTGAGTATGACTGTGTGTGTGTCTGTCAGTAGGTCTGTGTCTGTGTGTGTGAGTATGACTGTGTGTGTGTCTGTCAGTAGGTCTGTGTCTGTGTGTGTGAGTATGACTGTGTGTGTGTCTGTCAGTAGGTCTGTGTCTGTGTGTGTGAGTATGACTGTGTGTGTGTCTGTCAGTAGGTCTGTGTCTGTGTGTGTGAGTATGACTGTGTGTGTGTCTGTCAGTAGGTCTGTGTCTGTGTGTGTGAGTATGACTGTGTGTGTGTCTGTCAGTAGGTCTGTGTCTGTGTGTGTGAGTATGACTGTGTGTGTGTCTGTCAGTAGGTCTGTGTCTGTGTGTGTGAGTATGACTGTGTGTGTGTCTGTCAGTAGGTCTGTGTCTGTGTGTGTGAGTATGACTGTGTGTGTGTCTGTCAGTAGGTCTGTGTCTGTGTGTGTGAGTATGACTGTGTGTGTGTCTGTCAGTAGGTCTGTGTCTGTGTGTGTGAGTATGACTGTGTGTGTGTCTGTCAGTAGGTCTGTGTCTGTGTGTGTGAGTATGACTGTGTGTGTGTCTGTCAGTAGGTCTGTGTCTGTGTGTGTGAGTATGACTGTGTGTGTGTCTGTCAGTAGGTCTGTGTCTGTGTGTGTGAGTATGACTGTGTGTGTGTCTGTCAGTAGGTCTGTGTCTGTGTGTGTGAGTATGACTGTGTGTGTGTCTGTCAGTAGGTCTGTAGTGAGCACCGGTCATTCATAGTGTCATTCATTGAATGTAGTGTTGGTGTTTGCGTTACCATTTTTTTTTTCTTTGCCCAATGTACAATTTTGACCACCAGCTCATAATGATGGATTTTGGCAATATTTTGCCCAGGAGAGATGGTAAACCGTAAAAGGTACAGGGGAGGTTTATGTGCAGAAAGGAGCAGAGTGTATAAGGAACAATATGGAGATATATGTACAGAAATAATGCTTGTAATAGACACTAAAAGTAACAAGCAAAAATAAATAAAAGAAAAATGCAGATAAAGAAACATGCATTTAGTGCAGAAAGCAATGAAGAATGTATTCACTAATAGTGAACTGTAGTGAACTCTAAACAGAATTGCAAGTTTTGGGCAAAAGTAGCAGAACTGGGGGGAAAAAACAACAAAATAGCAATTTTTATAATGTCCTATTTAGTAAAAGAAAAATAAAAAAAAAATTCTGAAAAAAATGTTAGTAGGTAATATGAGTATTAAAAAAAAAAATGTTTTGGGACAATCTTTACTTTAGTTTTTAGCAGGAAAAGAGAAATAAAATGGGCCATGAGAGCCATTTGTACATTGATACATGGTATGGTATGGCTTTACAGTTTGCATATTATGTCAGTATGTGTGTGTTTATGTCTGTCAGTAGGTCTGTGTGTGCGAGTATGATTGTGTGTGTGTGTCTGTCAGTAGGTCTGTGTGTGTGTCTGTCAGTAGGTCTGTGTGTGTGTGTCTGTCAGTAGGTCTGTGTGTGTGAGTATGACTGTGTGTGTGTGTGTGTGTGTCTGTCAGTAGGTCTGTTAGTATGTCTGTGTGTGTGTGTGCCTGTCAGTAGGTCTGTGTGTGTGTGTGTGTGTGTGTCTGTCAGTAGGTCCATGTGTGTCAGTATGTCTGTGTGTCAGTGTGTTTGGGTGTCAGTATGTCTGTGTGTGTGTGCGCCTGTCAGTAGGTCTGTGTGTGTGTCTGTCAGTAGGTCCATGTGTGTCAGTGTGTCAGTGTGTTTGGGTGTCAGTATGCCTGTGTGTGTCAGTATGTCTGTGTGTGTGTGTGTGTGTGTGCCTGTCAGTAGGTGTGTGTGTGTGTCTGTCAGTATGTCTGTGTGTCAGTGTGTTTGGGTGTCAGTATGCCTGTGTGTGTGTGTGTGTGTGTGGCACTATGTCTGTCTGGGTGTGTGGTAGTATGTGTCTGTGTGTGCCAGTATGTCTGTCAGTGTATGTGTCGGTGTCCATATGTCAGTATGTATGTGTCAGTATGTCTGTCAGTTTGTATACATATAATCTGTGTGTGTATATGTGCATACATCTCAGCATTCACACACTAACACTACATACAAATACACCCCTGCATTCAAACTCCAACACTAGGTACAAACACATGTCTGTGTTACACACCAAAATTATATGTTAACACACCCTTGCATTCAAAAACCAACACTACACATAAATACATGCTTGCAATCACGCCAACACCACATACAAACTTATTTTACAAAAAAACCTGTTTACATTCAAACACACAAAAACAGCGTTGTGCTAAATACAAACCTTCAAACATGGGTAAATGGTAGAGCCACAGCTGTCAATGCATTGCTGAAGTTGCACGACAGATGGGGAACTACCTTCTAATCACCCGTGCGATAGGGAGGCACAAAAAAATTCTTGCACCTCTCTACTTTAGGTCTGCCTCTTCGTTGGGGTGGAGGACATGATTGCACACCTGGCGAGGGTACCAGGGGGCCCAAGCAAATGCTTTGCCCAGGGTCCAATCAATATTAAAGACGGCCCTGGGGACTGCAATGTTGTGTGACCGAGTTTCACTGTCTGGAAGACCGCCACTGGAGGGGAGTTTATCTCTCCTGCAAAACAGCAATATTTTACCTTGCATGGTCAAAATGACAGGACCACGGCACGTGGTTATAATAACGTTTTAGGAATTAGTTTTATTTATAGAGGTTGCAATAGAGTATTCTGTTATTTATAATAACCCCTGTATATATTATTTATCAACACATTTCACTAAATGAGTGCACAACAATCCATTTATTTCAACTATAGAGACCTTACTATCTTATATTATAAATTATTAGAGCCCATTTCCAATCGCCATATTTCCCATAGTTTTGGAAGTGCAAGGATTGGTGTTGCAATGTTCACGTTAACGAGAGTTATTTGGCACAGCTGAGAAATCCACCAGCAATGGGTATTAGATTCAATGCTGAGACAGTCTCAAACCTGATGTAAAATATGAGTGAGTTGTGTTTTGTTCCATTTCCTTGAGCAAATATAAAACGTAAGAAATAGTGCTAAGTGCTAATCATTGATAACCGGACTCTTCAAGTAATAGGGCAACTGGGAAAATAGACTGATCCTTTGATTAAGTTTCATTCATTCCAGGTTAGATCATCACTGTGTCACACGTTACTAGTAAAGTTATTGGGTAAGAATAGGTATGTGTTGATATTTTACTCACTGCCCTCACATATACATCTGCACACCAGCTTTCATTCCACCCACTGAAGAGTACTGTAATAAAATTAGCGACTTGTGGGTAAATCTGATTACGTGCTGCTGAGTGAAATATGAATTGTGTCCATAATGGGGATTTCTGCACATTCAGAAACTTTGATGACGGTTTAAAAAAAAAAAAGGAAATAAAATAGTGTACATGAACAAAATCAGTGGAAAAACAGGCCACGTTGGCCGTGGTGATCTGTGATTAACACACAAGCGAATGTCACTGACTTGTGTCAACTTGTTTGGTGTGCAATGATTCAATAAAGCTTATTAAATAGAAAATGGAGTTTGTATGTCCACGTAATCCCTTTTTTTGCGTTTTTGGTATTGTACATTAAATAATAAAAGCCTAAAACTATGAAACTATGTTTAAAAAAAAAAACATGTTATAACTACACTATATTTAATATATTAGTAATATAATTGTCATTTCCCCTGAAAAAAAAAGAAAAGAAAAAAAAAAAACCATGAAAAACACAATGTTAAACAAAATATCTAACCAGATTGCTGTATATAATAAATGCCTGCATTGCAAACCAGTGTTGTAAAAACTGATCAATAAAGTTTTTTCAAACTTTTGGCCTATATTGCGTAACAGTTATCAAAGCAACCATAATCCAAATTTTGCACACCATTTATCTGCTGGCAATGACAATGAAGTCAGAATGTGTAATTAGTTAAACCTAAACCCGCGGTTTTAATGTTAGTCTCACAATGGTGAGCTTGACAGGCCAATATCGTTAAGATAATTTTTAAAAAGAGTTTTAAAAATCTTTTTTTTTTTTTTTTTTATTACATCATAGGTTACAGAAGACTACAGAGATCCAAATGCATTGATAGTGCAAATAGGTCACAGGTATTAATTTACATGGAAATTGCAGCGTGTGTGGGTTTCTTAAAAGAACCTCTAGACAGACATTTCAGGGATTGTGAACATATGCAATTGTTATGTCATAGTATCTGCTATGTTATATTCTAGTTACAGAGCTTATTTGACATTTAATTGCCTAAAGAAAACAACTGATCATTACGATTACCTAACAAACAGAGGACAACTGACTAATTAATAAAAAATCACCGGGATATTAGTCACAGCTTAGTAAGCCAACATTACATAAAGATTGCATTATGGAAGTATGATGTGATCAGAATGACCAACCTACACGCATTAAGAATAAAAGAAAACGTGTAAAAATAAACTGATACAGAGCACACCGGACAGTCTTTGCAGAACATATTTCCTTTTAGTTCAATGATTAGCCCAATATGACACCTTACACAGTTGGAGCGTAGTAGGGCTGCCAATACTAACTTGTAATGTTGAATGCCAAATCTCAAGTTAAGGTCAAAAGTGGTGGCTAGTTGCATGGGTTTAGAGAGGAGTAGACACTGGAAATGCAGGAAAGGCAGGATGTAAGGGACAGTCACAAATAAGGAATACATCACTGATACTGGTAAACTCAAGAGTTACAACAGAACAAAGTCTTACAACAACATTATTTTTTTCAATGGAGTTTCTTCACGGTAACTGCAGTTTTTCTGTTTCAAATACTCAAAAAGCGAAATAAAGTCACGATACACACACATCTACACTGTGCAGTCCAGGTGTCATCAGCCTATGGTTAAATGATGCCTAATGTGAAGTGCAAACACTGTACAACAAGAGTGCTATTTAACTTCAGAAAGGTACGTGTGGCTTCAAGCCAAAACAAAAAGACTTAGAGCTGATTAGAGTTTGAAACATTTATGAAGTGTGATCTTTCTGGCATTAACGTATGGTATGGTATCTGGTCTTCATGTATCGGAGTTGGTCCACTCACTGGGGCTCAGTGCTGATGCGAATGGTAAGGATGTAATGAAGAATTTTATCTGCTTTATGCTGTTGAGCTGACATCTCTTCCATGAAATCCATGTAGATTTGTCCATTGTGTTCACTAACTGTACAGGGTTATTTATTAAAGGGTTACTCCCAGAACAATGACCATTTCAGTGACTTGATGTGGTTATGGTGCCTTTAGGCTGTATATGCAATATTTAAAAATGCTGCTCATACATAGATTAGGTCTAATGCTGCAGGAGGTGAACTCCACATCCGGCAGCATCATTAGCCAACCTGGGACAGGAGTTGTAGGCAGGCTAATATCAATTCTTTGCAAAATTGGTATCTCACACAAACACACCTGATTACTTTGATTACTTAAGATGGCTTCAGTGTCTAAGGATGCCCTGATTGGGATGCTGCAGGCTTACCTGTCTTCTCATGGAGCTGGCTCTATGGCTGAGGTGATGGCCGGTTTGCCCCAGGAGGTGAGAGGAGAGGACCTGCAGGAGGCAGAGAGCCCATCACTGGCGAGTGGTAGGAGGACTAGGCGGTCTAGGCCTCCTACTCGTCTTTCCCCAAGCCCAGTGAGACGAGGTGGCGGTGAGGCGGCTGGTCCAGTCGGGAGGATCACCAGGATCGTTGATGGCGTGGTGAGCGGTGGATCCTGGGCTGCCAGGAGGCAGCCACGGGCTGCAAGGAGGTCGGTGAGTTGAGCCCAAGATGGCAGAGCGCGGGAAGAGCGCTCGATGAGTCCCCCTTCTTTTCCGGCCGCACCGGAAATGACGCGCGCATGCATGACGGCTGGACGGGACGTGATGACTTCACGTGCGCATACATCACGGAACCTGGAAGTGAGGGAAATTCATCACCTGGAGCCTCGGGAGAGCCGGGAAGGAGCTGCAGCACGGGACAGGAGGCACCAGAGAGGCACTGTGGCGGGGGGCCGGCCCCTGGCTGAGGATGGCCCTGGAGGAAGACGGAGAATGGTCACTACCAGCAGCCCAGCTGGTAGTGGACCCAGCAGCTGGCGGACCGGCCGGCTGCCAGCTGACCCACAGGAGTCGGAGTCAGGATCACATGACTCAGATGAGCAGGACCACCAGGGAGATTGTGGCGACTGCCCTGGAGAGCGGGCTAATGTGGCAGCTCCTGTCAGCGGTGAGTTGGCCTGCGCTAGCGCTTGGGGTAGCCTAGCTGGTGGGCAGGGTGCTGCAGGGGGTTCACATCAGGATCAAGGGGACTTGCTGCGCCTGCTTAGGGAGGTCGTAGATAGGTTGCCACCCACTGCGCACAGCGAGACCCATATGGGCCTGGGGGTGCAGGCCCCAGTAATGCCGTCATGGGGAGGAGCATTCCGCCCTCCGCTACCCGGCTGTGAATTGTCTCCTTTGGGCATGCATGTCCCAATCGAGACATGTGATAAGATTTTAAAGGGAGAGTTTATAGATTTCCTCTCGCTGGTCCTTCCTGAGAAGGATTCCGTGGATAGGCCACATCGTGGCGATCCCCAGGACACGGAGAAGAGCAAGCAACTCCCACGGACGTTTGGGAATTAGTTGCAAGGTTTTGCCGTGTTCGCTAGTATCCTAACCAGACGTTTTCCGGAACGGGAGCATTCCTTGTTCGGGTATCTAGACCTTATTTGGGGTGCATATAAGGTTTATGGCGGACAGAGCTGGTACCGGTATGACCAGCAGTTCCGCCAAAAAATGGCGGCATGTCCAGTGTTAGATTTCAGTACCCAGGATGGTAGCCTATGGCTGCTGATAATGACCCCCAGTCGTCCATCGCCCTTTTCAGGGGCAGCCGGGGTTCCCTCTGGGGAACCAGCTAGTCCGAAAAAAGGAGTGTGCTGGCTCTTTAATGAGAGCCACTGCAGATGGTACTCCTCCTGCCGGTTTAGGCATGAATGCTCGCATTGTGGAGGGGCTCACCCCGCAATGCATTGCTTTAAGAAGGCGAGGCAGCCTGTGCCTAAGGCGGGGGGGGCGGGACGATGGGTCAAAGGGGGAAGACTCCAGTGAGCGTGGCAAGGATGTTGCCGTGGCTCGAGCTTTACCCTAGACGCCACGACGCGGTGGTTCTAGGAGAAGGGTTTTCCATGGGTGTTTGGATACCCTTTGTTTTTTCTCCGGAGCCGCGTTTGGCTGACAATCTCCGGTCAGTCAATGGCAAGGAGGCCCTGTTGGGCGAAAAGTTGTCTAAGGAGACAGCGCTGGGTCGCATGACTGGGCCATTCGATTTTCTCCCCTTTCCTAACTTGCGGGTCTCCCCTTTGGGACTAGTCCCAAAAAAAGGAGGCTGGCTCTTTTCGGATGATTCATCACTTGTCCTACCCGCATGGAAGTTCAGTGAATGAGGACATTGACAAAGAGTTCAGCAGGGTCCGGTATGCCTCTTTTGATCGGGGCTCTGTCGCTGGTTAGAAAAGCTGGAGTAGGGGCACTCATGGCAAAATCTGATATTGAATCGGCCTTCCGATTATTGCCGGTTCACCCGGAATGTTTTCACCTTCTGGGTTGTCAGTTTCAAGGGTCATATTTTTATGACATGTGCCTTCCCATGGGTTGTGCCATTTCCTGTTCCTATTTCGAAATGTTTTCTTCGTTTTTGGAATGGGTAGTTGTGCAGTTCTCAGGTATTGCGTCAGTTACGCATTATCTCGATGATTTTCTGTTTGTGGGTCCTCGGGAGGGGGTTGAGTGTGCCCAGTTATTGTCAGCGTTCCGGGCAGGGGCGCACATGTTTGGAGTGCCGTGGCGGAGCAGAAGACAGAAGGGCTGCTTACCAGATTGTCGTTTCTTGGTATAGAAATCGACTCGATTTGCATGATTTTTCGCCTGCCTGACGAAAAATTAGTGGTTCTGTTGAGGATGGTAGATCTGGTAAAAGGGGCTAGGAAGGTCCAGCTCAGAACATTACAGGTGTTGCTTGTTGCGTACTACCTATGGGTCGGCTTTCTGTCGTTGGCGACAGTTGGAATCAGGGAGCCGCACCATTAGATCAGAGTCACGGCCAAGCTGCGGGCGATCTTACAGGTATGGAGTTCCTTCCTAGGCAAGTATAATGGGCGGTCGTGCTGGTTGCAAGAAGTGGTGTCTAATTCTGAGTTGGATCTCTTCACTGATGCGTCTGGTTCAGTCGGGTTTGGGGCCTTCTTTAGGGACAAGTGGTGTGCAGCGGCGTGGCCCCCAGAATGGCATGAGTTAGACGTTATGCGTAACCTTACCTTCCTGGAACTTTTCCCCATAGTGGTGGCTCTGGCATTGTGGGGTGAGGACCTGCGGGATCGGGTGGTGGTTTTTCACATTGACAATATGATTAACCGATCCTCTTCTGCGTCTCCTCCTGTTTTGGCTCTCTTGTGACATCTGGTGTTGCTTAGTTTGCAATTTAATGTGTGGATGCAGGCCCGGCATGTACCGGGGGAGCTGAACGTGGTAGCTGACTCTCTTTCTCGGTTTCAGGAGTCGGCGCCAGAAGCGGATCGCGAGGGTCTTCGCTGCCCTTCCTACTTATGGGACCTTATTTCGGAGGCTTGATGTCCTTGGTGTCGGACTCCTTGTCTGCCCCTACTTGGAAGGCACACAGGTCGGTATGGGTAGGTTGGCTGACTTTGGTGGATGGGTCAGTGCGGCTGTCGTCTGAGGCAGCCCGGGTGGAGATCACCTTAAGATATCTGGATGCGTTACACTCTAGTGATAGGTCTTGTTCATCGGCAGACAAGGCGTTGTCTGCTCTATCTTTCCTGTTTCGGTTTTTGGGATGGAGTGACATCACCAGGGAGTTTTGCTTACAGAGGGTTATGCGTGGTTGGAGGAGTCGGAGAGGTCTGGACAGACGTCGGCCATTCTCCTTCGACTTGCTGGGTGAATTGCTGGCGGCTCTTCCGGCCATCTGCGTATCACCAGGAGAGAGTCTTCTGTTTCAGGTGGCATTCTCCTTTTGCTTCTTTGGTGCGCTTCGGGTGAGGGAACTGGTGGCCCCCTTCCCGGCGGGCGATTTCCCCTTTACTGCTGTCTGATATGTTTGTGGACTTGCATATTCGTAGGTCTAAAACGGATCAGTCAGCGAGGGGCATGTGGTTGCGGGTGGGGCGTACTGGTGGGGTTTTGTGCCTGGTTCGGCTGTTTGGTCAGTATCGGTCTATTCGGCTGTCGTCTGTGGCTTTGCTGGTTCATGAGGATGGGTCTCCGTTGACGTGTTTCAAGTTTGCATCGATGCTGGGTAAGGCGTTGCAGTATTGTGGTCGGGATCCAACCGGTTTCTCTCCTCATTCATTTAGGATCGGAGCAGCCACTCAGGCTAGTGTTTTGGGATATTCGGGGTCACAGGTGCAGCGCTTGGGTAGATGGTCATTTCGTAGGTATCAGCTGTATGTGCAGCCTCATTTACTGTAACTTGTGCTCTGTTTTTAGGGTGTTCTTCCCAGTATGTTTGGATTGTAGGACACTCTTTCATCTATTGGGCAGCTCGACGGGCAGAGTCACGTTCCTATGGTCGAAATTTGGGGATCCCAGCCGAGTTAGCAAGGGTTCGTTGGAGGGGTATCCGGAGTCTGTCATGGTGCCAAATCTACCCGGAGTGCGCTTCTCTCAGCAGGTTTGTGTCTGGGTCGATTATCATTGTAATGCATGCGGGGGGTAATGACCTAGGGAGGGTAAGGACGGTGGACTTAATGCATGCTGTACGGCGGGACTTGGCTTGGTGCATGGCATTATTTGCAGAGTGTTGTTTGGTATGGTCAGAGATTGTCCCCCATCCGTGCTGGCAAGCCTTGCCGCATGCAAAAGGGTTGGAGAGGGCTAGGCGGAAGTTTAATGTTGCGATTTCGAGGTTTGTTCGATGCCTTGGCGGTGTGTCGGTTCGACACACGGAGTTGGAAAGGGACAATCGGAGTTTAATGAGGGGAGATGAGGTTAATCATAATCCTATTGGGCTGGATATATTTAACGTGGGTATCCAAGGAGGGATTGAAACGGTGCTGTCTGCGTGGGGCGCGAGGCCGACAAATGGAGATCAGGGTCGGCAGCGCAGTGCGGAGGTCCTGGCCAGCGCAAGTAATGCAAGACAAGGCTTTGGGGAGTCGCAGCTGCCAGGGCTGATGGCAGAAGGCAGACTGTACGGACTCTTGGAATTATCCGGTGTATCTGTCTGTTGAGTAGTCACCCCAACAGCCGACAGGTGGTGATATAAAGCTGGCTGAGTTGATATGTTGGAATAATAAAGCTGTGGCTGTGAATGTAAGTGGTCTGCAGTCATGCCTCTGGTTTGGTTATGTTGCAACAAAATGTTAAATAAAATTTTAACTCCTCACAATTCACACTTAACCGAGTAGCCCTGAGTGGTATTACAAAAGGCATCTTTAAAGAGATCGCCGTACAGTCAGTTATCCTGGAATCCATGCAAAGATAGAACGAATACATTTTCAGCATGTTGGCATCTGGAACAATACCAGAAAGTTATACGAGTACACTTACATTGCGATCATTTGTAATAACACAAAATGGAGGTTTGACAACACAAGCACAAAAAAAACATGGCAGGTATTATCAGCTTAATCTACCGGACCCTGAAGGACTTTGTTTTGAGTTATCGGAAAGTTATGCCTAAATTGTTATTTACTATTACGATGTCAATTATTCTATTAAATATTATTTTATTAAAATAAACCTGTCCAGGGTGAGAGCGCACCGGATGAAATCATCATTCACTAAATAGCATTGCGATTTTACAAACTCAACGCCCCCCCATAATAAAACAATTAAAAAAAATCTAGGACTTTAATGTTGCATCTAGTGAGACCAGGCAGAAGGTATGTCATTACCATTAATCCTATCAGTGGCACTGACAATCTAATAAGACCCTGCAAATAATACGATAGATCAGATGGATTCACTCACTGACAGCTGATTGAGTATCGCCATTAAAACAAACGAACACTAATATTTGGGATCTCCTGGAACCTTACAAAAACCAGGAGATTCTGAGGAGTGGCCGTTCTTCTTTCTCCAATCCACAGGCTGTGGTGTGGAGAGAAATAATCAAATTGGACCCAGGCAATGTCTGGTCTCCTGGGTCCTGAAAGGGTTAATCCCGCTGACAATACATGAAAGTGTTGCTGTTTGCAGCTATATTTGTCAGCATTACTCCTGTTATTTCCCAAGGGGTGGGCTTTCTTAGCACTTATGCTAGGGAAACAGATCTGCTGGCTGAGCTCAGTTATGCTTTGAATCCAGCCTGTGAGATATGATAGTAAAATAAAAAAACCATGAATCTTTAAACTGACATCCAAGTGCAAGTTATCCCAGCAGCAACAGCTATTGACGCCACCAAGAAAACTGAGGTATATGTGTTCTCACAATGTTGTTCGCACAAAATTGAGGTATATGTGTTCTCACAAATTCTTAGGAGTCTGGGGAAGATGTTGCTTCTCTTCCTCCTGTTATTGGGTAGTAAAAAAATAAAATAAAAAGAAGACAGTCCAACCACAGACACTTTTCATTTATTTGGGTTTTTTTTTTCTGATAAAACATTTAATGGTACATAATGGAGGCTTTTCTTAAAGGGACACCATAGGCACCGGACCACTTAATCTCATTGAAGTGGTTTGGGTGCAGTGCTTCGGCCTCCTTAACCTTGCAATGTAAAATATTCCACTTTTAAAGAAATTGCAGTGTTTGTATTGCAGGGTTAAGACTGCCTCTAGTGGCTGTTTACCAGACAACCACTAGAGGTGCTTTGTGCTGTTTAACTCTGTGAAAAGAGGCTGGACAGCCTCAAGTTTTGCATGAGGACATCCAGCGTTTTTCAAATCCCCCCATGCGGAACCTGCCGCAGCTGCTCATTAGGTTCCCTTCCCATCACCGATGTTGAAAGAGGCAGAAACTGAGCCAGGTAAGTGGATGGAATTAGGTAAGTGTTAGAAAGGTTATTCAACCCTTTATTTGCTGGGCTGAGGAAATCACAGAGGAAGAGGGACACAATAATGTTTAGAATACAGTTAACCTGTTGCAGAGTATATCTAATGATATTTTGCCATCTCGGTAAAGCAACATGGGGCTTGAAGTTAATGCTGGCTATCTACCCTAGCATTGATTATTAAAGTCTATGATCTGGTTACTTCAAACATGAACTCTATATCTGGTATCTATGCTCGGTACACAGCAGTTAATGGTGTGCACTTCTATTGCCTCCTGGTTGATCACATTCCCTTCCTTCTGACAAATTTCTAGAGATGTAAGCTGCAATGAGTTTCCAGGGGCAACAGAACATTTCCCGGAACACCATGAACTATAAAGAGTGTTTGAGGGTCTTAGGACTGGTCTTCAGTTGAGGTCCTCCAACGATCTGCTCTAAGACTAAGATCTCACATGTAGGCAATGCCATATTTGGATACACACACACACAGATGGTTTAATTAATAGTCCTGTGAGTTTCACAGATAAATCACTGATTTAAACAGGCTGGTTGAGTTGGTTAAACATAGCAATATATTAAAATTCAAGGATGAATATAAACCTACAGGCAAGATAGCTCACATAAGCGAGCCTCACTAGTACCGTCCACAGCCAATACATACAGTCATGCTGTAATCTTACAGGTGATGGGAAATTTAATGGCATTATCTAAAACATTTTATAAAATGGGTTGTGGGTGTATGTTGCTTTAGATATGGAGTGGCTATATTACAAAGGACAGTTTATATATTTAATTTTGTTTGGTTTTCTTCTGGAATACTAAGAAAAACTAAGAATAAAAACTAACCCTAAACAGCAGTTTGGATTTTAAAATCAATACAGGCCTGACTCATCTAGTATGATCAGCTTGTGTGTGTGTGTGTGTATATATCTATAGATATATATACACACACACACACACACACACACACACACATACATATATATATATATACACACACACACGTTGCCATCATCTAAAGGGGTGGAAATCCATAATTTCAGCCTTACGACTAACTTTGAAGTAAAGGAGTTGAAGAATTGTGGAAGTTGTGCATTCAGGCTTCTGATAATCCATGTTTTCCACAAAGCCATGTTGTGAATTTCATGAATCCGATGTGTGCTATTGTAGTAAATTGTTCCAAAGTGTATACACTTTCACCAACCTCTGGGGAAGTTACATGGCCCAAAGACCTAACCTCTTTATTTTTTTAGAAAATGAATACTGACCCTGGGTCTGTGTCACATAGATGTACTTTAGCACCCTGAGCCTTATTTTTCAATACCTGCTGGTGAAATGGCACAGGGTACTATATGGAGTAAAATAACTCCTATCACCTTTAACCAGCCTTTATCTGGCGGAGAATCATGTAAATAACAGCCTGCGAGACTTTGAAGGCAGGAATCCACTATACCCAAGTCCCTCATTATCAAAAGCCACAGGTAACAAACACCATGTAGTTCACCACATCAGGAAGGCCTAAGGTTGCCTACCCCTGTATATCTAAATGAGAAAAATATCTGGAGAGAAGTACAAGTCTTACAGAAAGCACATCTTTTACAGCTGTCTGTTACCACCACCACTGAAAACCCTACGGCTTCCGGTCAAATGCATGGCACTGGAGAAGTCATTACAGATTGACACAGCGAGCAAGGACCACCTCGGGGTGAAAATCAGCTGTTGTCAATAATGACTTTGCCCTGTACTTGGATATGCCCAAGGGGTTTCTTAATTGAAAATCTATTTTTATTCTTTAATTGACTTCAAACTAATGGGATTTAAAAAAAATAAAAAAATATGAGGTGTATATATATCTCCTTGCATTACAATTATACAAACAATAGTAGATATATTATCCGGTCTGCCACACTATAAATACAAATCCAATATAAGCCAGCGCTCTAGGGATTTCCTTCAAAAACCTTTTTTAATTGGTAACCAAAATATACATGTTTTAAAAAAAAATTTAAATCTGCGTTTCAGTCCTATGTGAGAAGTTTCATCAGGACATGTCTGTTGACTTTTTACATGTATATTTTGAATTCCAAATTAAAGAAGGTTTTTAAAGGAAATCCCCGGAGTGCTGGCTTATATTGGATTTGTGTGTATTTCATTTTTTTAAATTTATATATTTTTTCATTCTTTATTTGAGGTTAGACAGCAAGAGTCTTTCTGCCGTAGTAAATATATATTTTTAACAAGTTTTACCCCTCTAAAATATTTTTTTCCAACCCGCCCCGAGACTTGCTTGTGAGCTGCTGAATATCCTTACATCGTTATCTATTACCACCCCAACCAGGGTGCTACTTAATGCACCCACTGTCTCGCTAGAATGCGACAATCATGGCTGCTGTCTCGGGCCCTGCTGCAGTCCAAGATTAGAAGAACTTCCTCTACTTGCCCCAGTCATTTGGGGGCATTTGCTGCTTCCTATTCCCCTATCACTCTCCTAAAGAGGCAAGCGTTGGCAACTTGCTGCCAAGGTTGCAAACTAACAAGTATAGGATTTAGGACCTCTTCACTAAACAGTGAATTGTAGTGAACATAAAACCGATAGATTAGACCAAAATAGCAGATCTGACAACAGTCTCTAAACTCTGTTTTTACATATTTGGTTCATTTATGTATTTATTTTGGTCAACAAAAGGTTTCTACAGGTCATCCAGGTGGGACTTCAAGAAAGTTAACTGGTAGAGAAAAATGTGGGGGTTTTAAATGTTCTGTTCACACAGGGATTCTGTTGCGTCTGGTGACGCATAACTGTCATCTTTAGTTTTGTTCTTAAGACTAGCACCCTCCTAATATGAGCCAGTTGAAGACGCCTGTGCCATATTGCGTCATCTAATTCAAGAAGATATCAGAAATGCTGTCCACACAGAGAGACTGAAAGAGAAACACATAATAAAATAACACTACAACACACATTCTTATTCCATATTCTCTTTAACCCCTTAAGGACCACACTTCTGGAATAAAAGGGAATCATGACATGTCACACATGTCATGTGTCCTTAAGGGGTTAAACTGAACTACAAATAAAAAATAGAAAGCACTTAGTGGTAAAATTTACAATTATACCAGCCAGGGCAAAACTGGTCGTCAATGGTGTCATAGTGGGCAAAGCTATTCTTACCCCAGACATCTTGGCATTGAAGTGAGAGTACAATTCTCTTTTTTTCTTTCCTAACTTTGGAACATTGTGCACACGACTTGTGAGTCTAATGAGAATCACGGGAAGTGTTGTGTTGTTTTTTTTGTGTTTTTTTTTTAATAAGAATGTCACTTTAAATGTATTTACATCGTTCTATGTTTTTATATGACCATGCAATGTCTGTGAACAATGTAAAGGATCAAGAGTGGATCTCCCCTCTTGTCATGCACAGACAGCACTGCAAAACCTTTAAAAGCAAAAGAAATGTATTTCCCACCCATCACTCTCAGCCAGTAGAGATTAAACCATGTCAAGGTGTAAAAACAATTAATTAAAAAAAATTAGGGTGACAGACAGACAGCCACTTCTGCTTTAGGATCTTTGATTTTTGAAGAACACAGCTAATACTGTACACAAACACACATCTACTCTTGGACAAAGTGTTAAAAAAGGGACAATTGCCGTGGAAACCAATAGAATGTTTCTTAAAAGAAGAACAACTGCCACAACAAGAGGACGTAGTCTTAAATTAGAGGGGCAAAGGTTTAAAAATAATATCAGGAAGTATTACTTTACCGAGAGGGTAGTGGATGCATGGAATAGCCTTCCAGCTGAAGTGGTAGAGGTTAACACAGTAAAGGAGTTTAAGCATGCGTGGGATAGGCATAAGGCTATCCTAACTATAAGATAAGGCTAGGGACTAATGAAAGTATTTAGAAAATTGGGCAGACTAGATGGGCCGAATGGTTCTTATCTGCCGTCACATTCTATGTTCCTATCCCAACAGTTCTCAGTTTGGCACAGAATGGCATCTATGTTGCCTTGATACATTTCCCCCAGTACTCTTCATTTTACCTTTAGCCCAAGTTATATGTCCACTATTATCTAGATTTGAGTAATTGTTTCCTTTTTTTTTTAAGATTATTATTAAGATGACAAAGTACACTGCTAAATCTGTCTCCTGTATCTGGCATACCGGGTTAAATAAATGAAGGCCTTTCAGCTTCCTATGTTAGTGTTCACTCTGTGATTGATATCAGAGATTTAGCATTGTGCTTAGCCGGTGGCTTCTCTCAATAAGAGAGCAGGCAAAAAGAGGTGTTATTACAGCAATGATTTTCATTCCATACAGGTTGAAAGTTCCTCTCTTGCTCGGGAATAATATCCCAACAAGCTATGCAATGAAGGGGATGTCAGTGGCGTTCACGGCAGACTAAAGCTATGGCATTACCCTGGAGCTATAATGTCCTTATTTAGCCTGTTACATATTTGCACAATAAAGTAACTATGAAATAACACATTATGGGCTGAACAACAGCTTTAGGTCCACCAAGTTCAACCTTTTACACTTCCTTGTTACGGTTTGTGATCGAGAGAAAATGCAAAAAAAAAAAAAAATGTTTTTTTTTTTTTAAATCTCTAAAAAGGTTTTCCCAATTATAAATTAAATGTTTTAAAATTATCCTCAGCTCTTGAAATGGCAATCAAATATCCCACTGGATCACCCAACTATTATTCTTATCTAATGTTAACCCTTAAGGGGAAGACAGGCGCACTATACATCTATAGAAGATTTGGTGTAAGGAGGCTGTTGGTGCAGTCTTCCTGGGTCTTTGTCAAAATAATTTGACAGTGGTATAACAAAAAAACCAAATCCCATCACCACTGCATGGGATCAGGTCAATAATGACTATATTTCACTTTCCTTATTATTCATTCAACAGCGTTGTACAGTAAGTATGATTCAATCATGCTGAATCGCTCTTAACCCTTTCTGAGCTGGCAAATTAAAACAAGACAAGCTCCCTACAACAGGTTGGAAAAAAAAAAAAAAAAAGGATTAAACCCATGACCTCTCAAACTGTAACCACTACAATAAGCTGTAGTGTTTATGGTGCTCGGACTGTCATTTTAAAGGAAAAACACAGTCGATATCATTGTAACATTCTTTTTTTTGGTAACAAATATAGAAATAATATTAACTTCCCAATATCAAAAAATCGACACATTCCATACTGGTTTTAGAGATCCGTTTTCGAGTTGGAAAACAATATCACTAGTCCATAAGGGATCAATTGTTTTTACCCACTACATCACCTTCATTTTCTTTTTCCTTAAATCAATTGTCAATTATGATCTAGCAAGGACTTAATAGAGAAGTTAAGGAGAAGTCAAGTACTTTGGTGGACCTTGGGAAATCAAAGAATGGTTTCCACCACCACAATGACTGCCGGCAAGCACAGGTAGGAGTTAGCTTAATGGGAACAGATCAAAACTACACAACACAACCAAAAGTGTGCTAGTGAGACTTTCAGTTTCATATCACTAACTATTTGCATATCATTTATGTTTTTAACAGTTATATTCTTGGAATTAACCTCTCCCTATGACCGGGGTTGCATGCCTTTTTCCCCTTGTCCACCACAAAACCTCATTTATCACCGTTAACGCAATGTATTGTGCTCCAAAATAATATGATTCAATCTCACTGAATGAATACTGCTGCAATAAAGGCTTTATTTAGTTGACCTTTCAGTCTCTTACAATGTAACCTCTATAATAAATTGCGAATGGGGATATCATACAACCGCCCCCCCACACACACACATAGCGTTTTCCTGTAGAGGAAAATTTTTGTTCTCTTTTTCCTTTTTAAATAATAGTTAAATTTGTCTACATGTGCACAAAATCAATGAAATAACTAAATCTGGTGCTTATATCGTCATTGTAATACATGGAATTACCATTGATTAGAAGGCACAATATAAACATTTTAAGATTTTGATGATCCACATACCAATTTAAAAAAAAAAAAAAAAAAAGGTTACTTTCTTCCCTAAATACCTGGCAAGAAAAAGATATTTCATCTTCATTTTTTATTTTATTTTTAAAGGTAGCCTTTGTATTACATATATTTCAAATAGACGCATATAAAATTATAAATAATTTGTAAGTATTATACATTCCATGATTAAAAAAAAAAAAAAAAAATATTTTTCTAAATTCTATGTCAGTCACTTGTGTCCAAGACACACGTTTCGTATGGCTTTGATGTTTTAATATTATATTATTACTATGTACCAATCTCTAAAAGGGACCTGCAACAACTTATCTCTTACAGGTTATTTGGATCAGTACGGTCAGGAACACTTATTTATGGGTTTATTGTTATTCTGTTTAGAATTTGTGCCAATCACATTTCTGAAATACAATCTCCAAAGGACAAAGCAAATAAAAGTCTCAAATTAGAGAAATAATATGGTTCTATTAAACAAATAGAGAGTTGTGCTGGTTTGATGACATATTTGTAAAGTTTAAGCTTAAATAGATGCGTTGAATAAAAACTCCATTTCATGTGACTTTGGGTTTTAATTTTAGTCCCCAACTGATATTGTGCACAGCAGTCTTCACGTCAACAAAACTCGCTGCTTAGTAAATAAGACAAAAACTGGTGCAAGATGCTAAACAAGGACAATCACCAATTTCTCAACATTTAGGACTGTGCAGCCAGAATAGCGCCTGTTTTACCTTAATAAAGCTCCCTCATTTCCATAGGGTCTCACGAAACCTCTGGATTTGGAAAGAAGCTCCCAACTATGTTAGCCAATACACACAGAGTTAGAAGAATAAAACACAAAGCCCCTATCTTCCATAGAATAACAGTGTTCCAAAACAAGATTCTTCTAATCCATTTTTTAAGTAGAAGTTTTACTTTGAAAGATAGTCAGATATGTAGTTTTGGCATAGGAAAAGAAGGGAAGAGGCTTTGACTAAATGCACAAAACATGGACAAAGTGCTAAATATCTCGACATACAGTAATACAACTAGTTCACAATGGCTGAGATGAACTACAGGTAATGAAAAATGTGATGCACCACACCTGCTAAAGCACAAATAAAAGTAAATAGATGTTTGAATATAAGACTTGAGCAAATATAGGGAATCTTTTATCTATGAAATATATATATCGACTATATAAAATATTGGTGTATGTTTGAGGATTGCGGTCATCACATACAGCAATTTTAGTAGCACTTTTCATGCACTGTACCACTTTGTAATTGGTTGCAATATTTTATGGGATATATCACTTTGGCGCCTAAATTTAGCAAGTTAAATAAACCCTTAATACAAACTATAGCTATACATTTAGAGGATTATTTCCAACCCTGGAAACAGACAAGTATTGACTAAGTATTTGTAAATTTTAGGTCAAAAGAACTAGAAAGTTAGCAGAATTAGAGGATTTTCTACAATTCCCATTGTATTGACTAAGTACGCTTAGATCCCATATTTAAGCAGCTATTAATCCAGTTTATTGACTAAACTTACATATGATCACATTTTCAGACAATATATTAAACTCCAATATACAATACCATAGCCAGCATTTTCTTAGTAAAATATAAAATTTCAACAGCGGCTAAAAATCAGCCAATCCAATGCTCTGAATATTCAGACTCCTTCTACAGAGTTTTTCAAATCTGCACAAAGCAGTACAGAACACTCAGATATAAATGAAAACATATAATATTATAATTAGTGATTGTGAATTCTAGGTACATCATGGGGTTTATTTACTGTACTGGACATTTTGGAGAATTTACAAGGTAATTACAGATTTTAGACGAATACAGTCAAATTGCTAAAACATGAAATTTGTAAAATTTCTCAAATTAACAGATTTTGATCCAATATTAAAATTCCTGGATGAATTCATACAAATCCCAGGTTTAATGAAAAATTCTTATATTACACCAATGGTACCACTGTGAAAGTGTTATAGAATGGACTCTTTCATTTTAAACCTGTTAGATGTTAAAGAGGTCTAGACGTTGAGAGCTTTAAAACGTGTGCGTTCCTTTTAGTTTATCATAAAACACACTTGGAAGTTGACACACAGTTTCACAGTTCAAACCTTAGATATATTTAGTATTTAGATGTAAACTTTTACGTCACGTATTTTACAAAGCCATTCGTCCTGCAGAATGATGCAATTGTTTCTAAAATAAAATACAAACTTGTCACTCTGTATATATAATCCTGTCATATGCTCTCATTGATACCCAGAATTAACTGCGCCTAGAACTTTACAGCACAGCGACGTTTCACAAACTATTTACAAAAAAGTCCAAACCTTCCTTCCTAATTAACTAGCTTTTTCCAATAATTATCCTTATACCAGGCCTGGTAAAACTTTGTGCAATGCTAATCTATCAAGTCAAAGACAGCGCTTACTGATCCAATTTAAATAAAAAAACTAAAAACATGTATGAATTATAGCAATGCCGCGGCATGTATGTATAATGTCTGAACATGACAGTCGTATTACAGTATTACAGAGAGCACACTACATAATATTTAAAGATTTACATCTTTAAAGAGAGATATATACATATAATTAATTAACAGTTGCAGTCGTAAAAAAAAGTTTACGCTGTGACAATGACAATAAAACTGATGCTATTGTACTGATATATGCATACCAAAAAAATGTCACTAAACTTTTTAAAGCTATCATTCCAGCTTTCTAATATCTTAAATGCAAAAAGCATCACACATATGTGTAAAATAAAATAATAAAATATTTTAAAAACACATGTGCTACTACATCATATTAAACCAGTAGTTGCTTTTTTATGTTTTTTAACATCCCTTGCAAGTTTCGTGTATTTTGTTGTCAACAAGACCACTGCCCACACAGGAAAATATCGAAACATGTTTAGCGAAGAGAAACTAACATGATCACCACCTCACAGACCCCAAATCACATTATCAACAATATGTCTTAGCTTTAAGAAATGAGTGACATGCTGGTAATCAGAGAAATTTACTTAAACTTTGGCAATTTTTGCACCAGTGAATTTTACCTTTTCAAAATAATTTGCTCTAAAATAATCTACACAGGCCACAGTTTACGTCTGTTTATTAAGATTATAGTAAAGCCAAATATCCTATCATGGGGGGAAAAATAAAAAAAATCTATACAAGGGAGCTGAATAAGACCTGAATATGACCTCCTGCCTCAAGGTCAACAGACAGCTATTAAAAGATGCTCAGTTTAATTAAACATTAATCGATGCTTAAGTAATGCTGACCATCATTTGGCAATCTGCACCGCTAGATTACAGAGCACGACTACTGTTTAGTATTTTGTGATATAATAATGAAACACAGTGACTGTTCAGCTCTCAAATTACCCTAAACTATTACAGGAAGCTATGCAAAAATACAAATCGCAAAATAAAAAACACTAAACGGAAAAAATTGGAAAGTAAATACTCACAGAAAATCTGCAATTTTAAAAAGTAACATACGTTATATATTAAATAAGTCAATGATTATTAAAGTCACTCTTCCGAGGCCTTTAACACAATTTTTCATAATACCCAATTAAGCTTGTCATCTAAGGATCTAGGATCTCAGCGTATTCATAGATTTAGACGTGGATGTGAGAGATAGTGATATAGATATCTATAACGTGGGAATATATTTCAATATAATCCCAACCACATCTATATCTGCACACATTACTCAAACGAATGGCAACTTGTAATTAATATGTCGACAGATAACAAATCTATTATTTTTAAAATCACTTTAGAACATACCAAAGTATAGTATGGTATAACCACAATGATGGTAAGGAGAGAAAGTACTATATGTTTGACCCATACTATTTGATTTTATTATTTAATGAAGTTATAGCTTTACTAAAACTGTCTTATTTAGTGGCATGATACAGATGGTTCTGGAGATTGTGTGGGCTTCAAAGGAAACAATATCCACAACCTCACTTATAAAACAGCCACATATATATATATATATATATATATATATGAAATAGACAATGAGCGAGCATGTTCAGAGTAATAGTCGGGGTACCCACACATAGACAAACCACAGCTTTCGTATTCTGAGGCAGGACCATGCTAACAGCTGCTGTCTGGTACTCTAAGCCAATAAGGACCAACCTTTGACACAAACTATTGTGAAGTACCTTTCCTATGATCCTCAGCCAGCTGAGTGGCTGGCTGAGCATCATAGAATCACAGTCCACAATCATGCTTGCCTAAAGCTAGCACCTCATTATTGGAACTCTGATGTGGTCCTGTGTATAAACTTAGTGCAATGTTATTTTTCCTAAACTCTATACTTTGCAGGCCTGCTGATTTCTACTGAATTCATGAACAATTCTGACACACACACACACAAAAAAAAAACAACCACTGGTTCATACAAAAGAACATGCAAAACAGGCTAAGAAACTGGACTGCAGGGTCCTGAACAGAATCCATACATGATAAGTAACTAACCTTATTTTAAGCCGCTCACAGTCCCTGAAATTGTGGACTTTTCTACCCTGACTGTTGGAGTCTAACTTTGGGGAATACTGTGATGCTCTAACATTTAAAGGTAGGTAGGATAAACAATAGAACACAAACTATGACAAAATCAACTCAGTCTCTCTTCCAGCACTATAATCTCAACCACAAGCAACACTTTACAGTTTCTACAGGCAGGAAAAAAAAATGTTTAAAAATAAAAACAATGATAATATGTATTACAAAGTAAAAAAAAACAGCAACACCCCCACCCCCCCCTCCTCTGGAGTTATCCTCTTCAACCCTACTGGATGACCATTATCCCCTACACCCTACTGGATGACCGTTATCCCCTACACCCTACTGGATGACCGTTATCCCCTACACCCCACTGGATGACCAATATTCCTTATATCCCTACTGGATGACCGTTATCCCCTACACCCCACTGGATGACCTTTATCTCCAACTCCCTGTTAACTTCTGACCCAATTCCCCCTTAGGCAGGTGAGCCAAAACCTTAAGTGCCCAGCAGTTGTAGAAGAACAAATCCCATGTAGCTTTACTATCCCCTGACCTAAAGTGTACTGAGTGGCTGGGCATACTGCCCACAGTCCTGCCCTCACCCTTTCTTACCTTAAAGGCCTGCATGCACTGGCTGTGCCCAGGTAGGGAGCTCCTCATATTTCCAGACTGCCCGATAGCTCTGCATGTTCCCTCTGCTAAGCACTGTACACAGATAGCTCTTAATGCTGCCCCTCTGCCAGTCAGGGTGCCCAGGTATCCATGCTCTACCTCTGCCAGTCAGTGTGTCCAGCTAACAATATCCTTCTCTGCCAATCAGTGTACCCAGGTAAGCATGCTCCCCCTCTGCCAGTGTACCCAGGTAAGCATGCTCCCCCTCTGCCAGTGTGCCCAGGTAAGCATGCTCCCCCTCTGCTGTCAGTGTGCCCAGGTAAGCATGTTACCCCTCTGCTGTCAGTGTGCCAAGCTAACCATGCCGCCTATGCCAGTCAATGTGCCCAGCTAATCATGCTCCCCCTCTGCCAGTCAGTGTGCTCAGCTAACCATGCCCCCCCCTGTCAGTCATTGTGCCCAGGTAGCTCTTAATACTGCCTCTCTGCTATTAGTGCCCAGCTAACTAGCCCTTCATGTTATCCCTCTGCCATTCAATGCTGCCTCTCTGCCAGTCTTTGTGCCCAGCTTTCCATGCTCACCCTGCCACTCAGTGTGCCCAAATAGTTCTTAATGCTCCCCCTCTGCCAGTCAGTGTGCCCGGTAGCCAGTCAGTGTGACCAGGGAACCAAGCTCCCCCTCTGCCAGTCAGTGTGCCCAGGGAACATGCTCCCCCTCTGCCAGTCAGTGTGCCCAGGGAACATGCTCCCCCTCTGCCAGTCAGTGTGCCCAGGGAACATGCTCCCCCTCTGCCAGTCAGTGTGCCCAAGGAACATGCTCCCCCTCTGCCAGTCAGTGTGCCCAGGGAACCAGTTCTCATATTACCCCTATGCCAGTCAAGGCTACCCCTCTGCTATTCTTCATGCTGCCCCCTGCTCAGGTAACTAGTTCCTCATGCTGCCAGTCAGTGTGCCCGGTGGCCAGTCAGTCAGTCAGTGTGCCCGGTCTGTGAGTCTCTCTCTCCGGCTGCCAGTGTCGCCCAGTGCTGCCAGGCTCCCTCCTGCTCCCTGTGTGCCCGCACTGTGCCCTGTGTGCCCGCACTGTGCCTCCTCCTCCCCCCGGCCAGCCGGCCGCAGCCGTCACTCACCTTTCATGGCGGCGATGACATAATACATGGTAGCCCGGCCGGTGGTGCCCTCGGAGCCCAGCGCGGTGCACCCCAGTCAGCTGCCAGCTTCGCTCTGCCGCATCCTCCGCCCGGAGCTGCCATATGAGAGTCCATGTGACCCGGCCGGGACACGCCCCCAAATCTGACAGCAGACACGCCCAGCCCGCCAGATCCACCAATAGCAGGCAAGAGAGAAAGCGAGGGGACACGCCCCTCACAGCTCTGATCCCACCTTACACGTGGCCTGTCTGTGACAGCAGGAGAAACAGAGACTGAGCCAGGGGGAGGTAGCCCCCCATATACAGAGCTGGGAGAATAGGTAGCCCCCATACAGAGAGAGCTGGGAGAATAGGTAGCCCCCCATATACAGAGCTGGGAGAATAGGTAGCCCCCCATATACAGAGCTGGGAGAATAGGTAGCCCCCCCATATACAGAGCTGGGAGAATAGGTAGCCCCCCCATATACAGAGCTGGGAGAATAGGTAGCCCCCATATACAGAGCTGGGAGAATAGGTAGCCCCCATATACAGAGCTGGGAGAATAGGTAGCCCCCATATACAGAGCTGGGGGGATTGGTAGCCCCCCATATACAGAGCTGGGAGAATAGGTAGCCCCCCATATACAGAGCTGGGGGGATTGGTAGCCCCCCATATTCAGAGCTGGGAGAATAGGTAGCCCCCCATATACAGAGCTGGGAGAATAGGTAGCCCCCCATATACAGAGCTGGGAGAATAGGTAGCCCCCCCATATACAGAGCTGGGAGAATAGGTAGCCCCCCCATATACAGAGCTGGGAGAATAGGTAGCCCCCATACAGAGAGAGCTGGGAGAATAGGTAGCCCCCCATATACAGAGCTGAGGTGATAGGTAGCCCCCATATACAGAGCTGGGAGAATAGTAGCCCCATATACAGAGCTGGGGTGATAGGTAGCCCCCCATATACAGAGCTGGGAGAATAGGTAGCCCCCAATATTCAGAGCTGGGGTGATAGGTAGCCCCCCATATACAGAGCTGGGAGAATAGGTAGCGCCCCATATACAGAGCTGGGGGGATTGGTAGCCCCCCATATTCAGAGCTGGGAGAATAGGTAGCCCCCCATATAGAGAGCTGGGAGGATTGGTAGCCCCCCCATATACAGAGCTGGGAGAATAGGTAGCCCCCATATACAGAGCTGGGGGGATTGGTAGCCCCTCATATACAGAGCTGGGAGAATAGGTAGCCCCCCATATACAGAGCTGGGGGGATTGGTAGCCCCCCATATTCAGAGCTGGGAGAATAGGTAGCCCCCCATATACAGAGCTGGGAGAATAGGTAGCCCCCCATATACAGAGCTGGGGGGATTGGTAGCCCCCCATATTCAGAGCTGGGAGAATAGGTAGCCCCCCATATACAGAGCTGGGAGGATAGGTAGCCCCTCATATACAGAGCTGGGGGGATTGGTAGCCCCCCATATAGAGAGAGCTGGGAGAATAGGTAGCCCCCCATATACAGAGCTGGGGATTGAGCAGCCCCATATAGAAACTGGGGGATTGGTAGCCCCATATAGAAGAGCTAGGAGAATAGGTAGCCCCCCCATATACAGAGCTGGGGTGATAGGTAGCCCCCATATACAGAGCTGGGAGGATTGGTAGCCCCCATATACAGAGCTGGAGAATAGGTAGCCCCCCATATACAGAGCTGGGAGAATAGGTAGCCCCCATATACAGAGCTGGGATTGGTAGCCCTCCATATACAGAGCTGAAGAGTTGGTAGCCCCCATATAGAAGCGAGGATTGGTAGCCCCCATATACAGAGCAGGAGGGGAATAGGTAACCCTCTCTATACAGAGCTGGGGTGATAGGTAGCCCTCCATATACAAAGCAGGAGGGGAATAGGTAACCCTCTCTATACAGAGCTGGGGTGATAGGTAGCCCTCCATATACAGAGCTGGGGGGATAGGTAGCTCTCCCTATACAGAGCTAGGGGAATAGGTAGCCCTCCCTATACAGAGCAGGAGGGGAACAGGTAGCCCTCTATATACAGAGCTGGGCCGAGGTAGCCCCCCATATAGAGAGCTGGGGGGATTGGTAGCCCCCATATACAGAGCAGGAGGGGAATAGGTGACCCTCTCTATACAGAGCTGGGGTGATAGGTAGCCCTCCATATACAGAGCTGGGGGGATAGGTAGCTCTCCCTATACAGAGCTACGGGAATAGGTAGCCCTCCCTGTACAGAGCTGGGGGGAGAGGTAGCGCTCTATATAGAAAGTGGGGGGGAAGGTAGCCCTCCATATACAGAGCTGACGGGATATATATATAGAGAGAGAGCTGCTGAGATAGATAGCTCTCCTTTAAGAGAGCTGAGGCATGGAAGATATATTATGAAGCATGGGTAGTCCCACATATAAAAAAGAGACATGGGGGCAGGCAGTCTTTCATAGAGAGGGATGAGACATGTGGGGAGTAGGAGGTAATCCTCCATACGGAGAAATAAGGAAAGGGGGGGCAGGGGTAGGAGGTAGTTCTCCATAGAGAGAGCAAAGGCATCAAAAGAACTTTAGCTTAATGAAGCAGTATTAGTGTATCGTTTATGCCTCTGAAGTTTCAATGTGCAATTCTCTGCCATTTAGAAGTTAAATCACTTTTGTTTCTGTTTATCTAGCCCTAGCTCCCCTGTCTGTGACTCACACAGCCTGCATGAACAAATTGGTTCATTTTCAATCAGATGTTAACTTGCTTTACAAGTTTTTATCTCCTGCTCTGTACATGAAATTGTAATCACCCTCAGGAGGCTCCTGTAAGCTCTAGAATGTTATTAACAGAGCAAGATATAATAAATTCTAACGTAAACAGACTGTGCAATTAGGGAACCTAAAATATCTAGCTTCCTTTACAGGAAGTGTTTGGGAAGGCTGTGTAAGACACAGTCAGGGGAGATATGGCTAGGGCTGCATAAACAGAAACAAAAGTTAATTAAAGCGGCACTGTCATGGACGAATCCAGTTTTTTTTAGCCCCCCTCCCAACTCCACTACATCTAATTGTCCCCCTAGTCACCCACAAATGCCCCTAATCCCCCCATATTTCCTATTTTTACATCTTTATTTTGTGCCCGGACCTAGGTCCTGGGAGCCGCCATCTTTGTGTGGGTAGATGAAGTCCCTGTGGGACACGTCATCTGACCACACTAGATAGTGCTGTGAAATTAAACACTTGGGCATGCGAACGGGAATTTTTAATCCATTCATTCGTCAGAAAGATGAAAAAATGAATGGACATTTCAAATGAATGAACAAAGAAAAAAATCTCCGGAATGCCCCTACTCACTATGCTGCGAGTAGGGGCATGTCTACTAAACAGTGAGCAGCCTGTGGCGGCTCACTGTTGTAAACAAGAAAAAAGCCCTCCCCCCCTAACAAATTCCCCCATGGGCATAGCGAGTAGGGACAGAATTTATTAATACTAAGTAATCTTTACTTAGTATTAGTACATTTGGTTGAAAGATCAATTTAGGTCTTTCAGCCTTTTGGTAGATAGCTCCCTAATAATGTGGGAATTAGGGAGTTATCTACTAAGCAGCTGCAAGATGCAACCTCGAATCGGATCGGAATTTCATTAATTTGAATGAAATTCCAATGCAAAGTCCCGAATTGCGTCCTAACACGAATGGAGAAACTATTCTCATTCTGTTTGGACAAAATTCTGTGGTTTCTCCGGACAGGACGTTCAGGAATACTGACAGAAAGCATCGCGTAAGGTCGCGAAAGGTAAGAATTGTGGGAAAACAGAGCACACTTTGTTCCTTCGCTGGTCAAGCGTGGGAAACCTCCATAAGTCAAATAGTTCCTACTTTGTTTTATGTTTTAAAGAAAACTAGAGCAGACAGGAAGAAATGAAGAACAGATCCTGACAGAGGGAGAGAAGAGGAATCGATTCAAGAAAGGTAAGTTCGGCAGGTAATTAAGCAATGACACTGCAGGTAATTAAGCAGTGACACAGCAGGGGCATAATGGCAGGTAATTAAGCAGTGACACTGCAGGGGCATAATCTATACACCAAAACTGCTTCATTAAGGTAAAATTGTTTTGATGCCCAAAGTGTCTCTTTACTCTCTTCCTATAGAGTACTCCCTCCCACCCCTGACCCTTATTCCCTATTCCTCCTTATGGAGGAATACTTCCTACACCCTACATGCCTCATCCCTTTTTAATGGAAGACAATCTCGCCCATGCATCATATTTTTATATGGGGATTACCCATGCTTCATTAAAGGACCACTATAGGCACCCAGACCACTTCAGCTCAATGAAGTGGTCTGGGTGCCAGGTCCATCTAGGATTAACCCTTTCTGCTGTAAACATAGCAGTTTCAGAGAAACTGCTATGTTTACCCATGGCTTAATCCAGCCTCTAGTGGCTGTCTCATTGACAGCTGCTAGAGGCACTTCCGCGCTTCTCACTGTGACGCCAGCATCCATAGGAAAGCATTGAAAATGCTTTCCTATGGACTGGGTGAATATGCGCGCATGCGCATTCAGCCGATGACGGGGAAAAGAGGTGGAAAGTCCCCACTGCCAAGGGAGCCCGGCGGTGGAGAAAAGGTATGTGTTTAACCCCTTCCTTACCCTAGAGCCCGGCGGAAGGGGGACCCTAAGGGTGGGGGGGACCTAGAGACCCTATGGTGCCAGGAAAACTAGTATGTTTTCCTGGCACTATAGTGGTCCTTTAAGCAAAAGTTGTTTTGGTGTCTATAGTCTCTCTTTAAGCATGGGGGCGGGGTAGTCCTCCATAGACAGAGACGGGATACAGAGAGGGAGAGTTGGCACACCACATGTAGAGGTGAGGGATAAAGGGTGGGGGAAGGAGGGGTGATAATCCTCCTCATAGAGAGGTGAGAAATGGTATAATAGGCAGATTTCCAATAAACATGATTTCTGCTTCTCTTATTTTACATCTGAGCCCCTCTAAAACGATGATCAGCGTTAAAATGTTACTTGGCAATATTTTCAGATGATAATGCTTTGTGTAATGCAATAATGATAAACAAAATTAAAAAATGTGAGAGAGGTTTTTGCTCTGTAGAGGGATCTGTAATATT